GGGGTAGAATTTTGTCAGGAATCTGAATCTGCAAATCAAATTTCGATCCGACTCCCGGTTCGGAAGTTATGGCGTTTTGAAATTTCAAGGAAAATCGATCTGATGGTTTCCTGATAGAAAGTCAAGAGTAGAGAAGAAAATATTGAAAAATGCATCCATCCTTCCTTTCTGATCCTATCCTATCCTTCCTATTCTATCCCTTCTTCCTATTCTATTCTATCCTTCTTTCCTATTCTATCCTATCGTTCCTTCCTATTCTATCCTATCCTTCCTTCCTTTTTCATCCATCCATCCATCCTTCTTTTTCTTGATGACTTAGCTTATTTTGGATGACTTGGCTTATTCTGGATGACTCGGCTAAAAAAAGTCTAGATCTGGAGTCTGAAATTGAACTCGTTCAATTTCCAAAATCTAGTTATTATTCTTTCCCAGATTTCTCGATAACCATAAGGCTTCCAATAAAGATCATTATTCAGTCAATTTATGTCCAGTATCTAGTTCCTCGGAAATTGGGTCAAATTTTTATCTAGGTCAAAGGTCAAGAACTAGGTCAAATCTTACATTTTCAACATTATGTCATTTATCTTCGTCGTTGTTTATCGTAACTCCTAAATCTTTTTTGTCATCATGTAGCTTAGAAAAAGCCAAAGCAAAGATATGACATTAGATTTTTAATTACGCTTACTGATTTTGAAATATGGCGTCCAGAAAGTAGGTCAAAATAACTAGTTCTCCAAATTTAACATCTGAGTTATGAATTAAGGGTAGAATTTACTCAGGAATCCAAATCTGCAAACCAAATTTCGATCCGACTTCCGGTTCGAAAGTTATGGCGTTTTTAAATTTCGAGAAAAATCGATCTGATGATATCCTTATAGAAAGTCAAGAGTAGCGAAGAAAATATAGAAAAAATCATCCATCCTTCCTTCCTATCTTGTCTGATCATATCCTTCCTATCTATCCTTCCTTCCTATCCTTTCCTTCCTATCCTATCCTTCCTTCCTATTCTATATCCTATCCTATCCTAGAACTGGGTCAAATCTTACATTTTCAACCTTCTGTCTATTATCTTCGTCGTTATTTATCGAAACGTCTTCATCTTTTTTTCATCATGTAGCTTAGAAACAGCCCTTTCATATGTGTGCCATCCGTTTTTTGATTACTCTTACCGATTTTGAAATATGGCGTCCAGAAAGTATGTCAAAATAAAAAGTTCTCCAAATTCAAGGTATGAGTTATCAATTAGGGGTAGAATATTTTCAGGAATCCGAATCTGCAAACCAAATCTCGATCAGACTTCCGGTTCGGAAGTTATGGCGTTTTAAAAGCTCAATAATCGCTAAATTTGGTGCCCATGTTAAGTCAATGGGAAAAAAAGATTTTTTTGAAGTGAGAAATACGAAATATAGACTGAGTTCAGCTTAATTTAATGAAAGCCTTCAAAAGAAGGGGACCTCAAAAGCCAGTTAGTTTCAAAATTTGGACACCAAAATGCCAAGGTCAAAATCTAGGTCAAATTCAAAGGTTTTCCTTATTTTTGCGTTTCTGACACTACACTTTAATTATATTCTTCAAAATTGTGTATACATGTAGCCAGGAGTGTACTAATAGTGTTAGCCTTTTGCCGTCAGAAAGTATTTTGACCCACTTTTGAGATATGGTGTCCGAAAAGTAGGTCAAAATAAAAAAATCTCCAAATTTAATGTATGAGTTATCTATCAGGTGTAGAATTTTGTCAGGAATCCGAATCTGCAATTCAAATTTCGATCCGACTTCCGGTTCGGAAGTTATGGCGTGTCCAAAAAGTAGGTCAAAATAAAAAGTTTCCAAGTTTAACGTATGAGTTATGAATTAGGATTTGGAAGTTATGGCGTTTTATAATCGATCTGATGGTATCCTGATAGATTAGTCAAGAGTAGAGAAGAAAATATTGAAAAATTCATCCATCCTTCCTATCTGATCCTATCCTATCCTTCCTATCTATCCTTCCTTCGTATCTTTTCCTTCCTATCCTATCCTATCATATCCTTTCTTCTTATTCTATCCTATCCTTCTTTCTTATTCTATACTATCGTTCCTTCCTATTCTATCCTATCCTACCTTCTTATTTTATTCATCCATCTTTTTTTGGATGACTCGGCTTATTCTGGATGACTCGGCTTATTCTGAATGACTCGGCTAAAAAAGGTCTTAATCTGGAGTCTGAAATTGAACTTGTTCAATTACCAAAGTCTAGTTATATTACTTTTATAAAAGTGAACCCATGTGAACCTCCTCTTGATCTTAATGAATTCTGGAGTGAGAAATGAATAAAGTAGAATGAACTGTGATATCTATGGTGTTTTCAAACTGAATGGGTATAAAGTACATCGCTTTTGGGTAAGATGCTTGAATTAAGGAGGCTGACTAGGTTTCCTGGATGGATCGTCAAATGGTTAAGCAACATGAATAGGTCTGTTTCAAATAGTTTAACTGGTCAACTTAAGTTTCAATCTCTATCTTTCTCCTTTAAGACTTTTAAAGGAAAAAGTGGAATGTTTTCCGGTGTTTATAGTAGTAGGTTTAGGATGCGTACATCATTATAGATCTTGCTCTTTTCTTGAATTCTTCTGAATCTCACTATTTACCTCTTGTGTAAAATTAAATTTTCTGAGTTATACATAGAACAGGGATACAGGGAGAGTTTTTTAATACATTACCTGATTTACCACTGTCTTAGCAGTACTTTAACATGTTGTTCTACCTCACCAATATCCTAGATGCGAGTAGAAATAATCTTGATTTACATCATTAGTCATTTACGTCACAATTCAGTCAAGCTGATGTCATATTTGGAATCTACATGTAAAATTACATCTAGAAATGTGGTTTTGAAAAGAGTTTATCAACTTTTGAAAATTTAATTTTCTTTGAAAATGTGACTTCTAGGTCGGGGAGATTCCCCATAGACCCCATGTTGTAAAACCAGAAAAGTGAAATATCTCTTCTTGTGTTGGGCAGATAATATTTTCTTTTACTGAACATATATTAATTTGTATAACTATCACATGCATAAGGGTAATATTAAAAGTGAACCACTAAAACTGATTAATATTCAAGTTTAAGAGAATTTTGTAATACCCTGCCATGTTATTTCCCCCGAATCAGCCACCTGGTGGCGAAACTGGTAACTACCTACTCGCATCTGAGTAATTGCTCGATACATGTATATCTCACTTGACTGCATGGCCCCATTTCCATGGTATTTAATAGGCTTGATTACACACCACAATCTGAGTCTTTTTTTGCAAAACAGCATGCGATTTGTGATTGCTATATATTTGTTTGATATAATGCACAAGGTGGTACTTTCATTGTTAAAAAACTTACTAATGGTAAGCTTATTAGAGAGGGAGAATTAAAATACTGAATTGATGAAATAATATTTTTCAATTTTTTACACTTTCACAAGTTAAATATTTTCTTATATATCTGTACATGTATATTCAAAATTGTGAGCACCTACAAATGACCTCCAGCAAGCTGTTGACTGAAGATAATGTAATCATCATTTTTTGTTTGCACATACTTAAATCCCCATTCTGGTATCAATAGATCAACAAGTCTCTCATTAATCTGATACAGCTGCTGCTATCAAAGAAATTCACCATCATGGAAACAATTCCCAGACATGTCTGTTCAAATCTATAATGTCGACTATAGTCCCAATGATAGAATCATTATTATTGATTGCACATTGATTTGCACAATGTTTCGCGGAGATAAGAGTCATGCGGTTTAATGTATGGCAAACTTGCATTTCTTTTCATTCACATGATATATGATTAATATGTTGTAAGTAATTCTTCTTCAGTATTCAGTCATTTTGATGCCATGTCGTACTTGCAGAGATTTGGTGTGTCAATCATTTGACATGTTTGAATGGACAGAAAAACATTTCCTTTAATGTCAGTTAGATTTCCGTTGAAGTATTTTGGTATGTTAGTCCATTTCCAAGAAGTCTGTTAGTGATTGATTGCAACACCAATGATTTTAAATCCAGACGTTCTCTGGGAAGTCTATTAATTATTCAATATTCTTCTCCATAAAGATTTGTTATTGAATAAGTGTTTGGATACTTCGGTCACCTGTTAGCACAGCTATTTAATTGAGACCTCTAAAGATTGGAGTGAAATTTACAACATCATTCAATTCCTAGGGGACTGAGCAATATACATTCATTTTCAGAATGTGTCTGAAAAACATATCCCATTCTGCATACCTATGTCATTTATGTAAATTAATACCCAATAGACCTCCTCATGAATTTTTGTACTAACAGCCTGGTCCTAAAGGTTTCACGTTTTCCCCTTGAACTGATTATTATATAATCAATACCAAATTTTCTTGAATTATTACCGTTCACTATATGGCCCATGTGCACTTTGAAACTACTTATTAAATAGTTATCATGCATATTCAAGTTCTACTGTGTAAAGTAGAACCTACAGTGTATGTGATATATTTCTCACTCATTTTGATATCTTTACTTTGTCTTGTTTGCTAAATGAATTTAATAATGGCATTATTCTCCCACCAGCTCTTTGACCCCAAAAACATGAGAAAGCTGCCTCAAGAAAAAAAAATTGTTTCTATCTCATGCTTATTATCATATCTCTGTGTATTTGACTCCATGACTTCAACACTTGGTAATACTTTTGCTTAACAAATACCTTTTATTTTCGAGGTATAGAGGTATAAAATGCAAGAGAAACATCTGTGTATCCAATTAAACCTAATTTCAACCTTCATTAATTGCTCAGTGGAAGCTTGGGCTTCCAATATTGAATGCCCATGGTGGAAGCAGTGCTCCATTGTTATAACAGATATACATTATTTGAAACATGGTTTTGAATATTGTTTTAAAGAAATGAAACATCGTTTCACACTGGAGAATGACAAAAGTTTATTTCCTCTATCCAGATAAAGTTATGGATGCAAAGCCCTATGTTTGCTTCCAGACATGAAGAACTTGACAGATATGCTAGGGAAAAAGAAAATGCTCTCCATAACCTGAAAGATTCATATAACAACAGGGAGAAAGACCTTGAAGATACTATAAGGCAGCTACAGGGGCAACTTGAAGATTTTGGTATTAAGATGAGACAAATGGAATGGACAAAAGAAGACATAATGAAGGATAAAGAAATAACAATTGAAAGGTGAGTTATTATTTTATATAAGCAACATTTTCTTTAGCTTTTTATAAGTTATTACATGGTATATTAGGCAAAATTTAACTTTATTAAATTATGGCGAAAGTAAGTAAAACACAATCCAGTGTGGTCGTATCACTGATTTTCAGGGCATAGTATTAAAGAATGTAAAGTTAAGTGAAACACGATCCAGTGTGGTCCTATCACTGATTTTCAGGGCATAGTATTAAAGAATGTAAAGGTAAGTGAAACATGATTCAATGTGGTTTAATCAATGATTTTCAGGGCATAGTATTAAAGAATGTAAAGGTAAGTGAAACATGATTCAGTGTGGTTTAATCACTGATTTTCAGGGCATAGTATTAAAGAATGTAAAGTTAAGTGAAACACGATCCAGTGTGGTCCTATCACTGATATTCAGGGCATAGTATTAAAGAATGTAAAGGTAAGTGAAACATGATTCAGTGTGGTTTAATCAATGATTTTCAGGGCATAGTATTAAAGAATGTAAAGGTAAGTGAAACATGATTCAGTGTGGTTTAATCACTGATTTTCAGGGCATAGTATTAAAGAATGTAAAGGTAAGTGAAACATGATTCAGTGTGGTTTAATGAATGATTTTCAGGGCATAGTATTAAAGAATGTAAAGGTAAGTGAAACATGATTCAGTGTGATTTAATCAATGATTTTCAGGGCATAGTATTAAAGAATGTAAAGGTAATTGAAACATGATTCAGTGTGGTTTAATCAATGATTTTCAGGGCATAGTATTAAAGAATATAAAGTTAAGTGAAACATGATCTAGTGTGGTATAATCACTGATTTTCAGGGCATTATATTAAAGAATGTAAAGGTAAGTGAAACATGATTCAGTGTGGTTTAATCACTGATTTTCAGGGCATAGTATTAAAGAATGTAAAGGTAAGTGAAACATGATTCAGTGTGGTTTAATCAATGATTTTCAGGGCATAGTTTTAAAGAATGTAAAGGTAAGTGAAACATGATCCAGTGTGGTCTAATCACTGATTTTCAGGGCATTATATTAAAGAATGTAAAAGTAATTGAAACATGCAAAGGTAAGTGAATCATCTACACAATCAGGGGATTATATTAAAGAATGAATGTAAAGGTGATTGAAACATGATCCAGTGTGGTATAATCACTGATTTTCAGGGCATTATATTAAAGAATGTAAAGGTAATTGAAACATGATCCAGTGTGGTATAACCACTGATTTTCAGGGCATTATATTTAAGAATATAAAGTTAAGTGAAACATGATCTAGTGTGGTATAATCACTGATTTTCAGGGCATTATATTAAAGAATGTAAAGTTAAGTGAAACATGATCTAGTGTGGTATAATCACTGATTTTCAGGGCATTATATTAAAGAATGTAAAGGTAATTGAAACATGATCCAGTGTGGTATAACCACTGATTTTCAGGGCATTATATTAAAGAATATAAAGTTAAGTGAAACATGATCTAGTGTGGTATAATCACTGATTTTCAGGGCATTATATTAAAGAATGTAAAGTTAAGTGAAACATGATCCAGTGTGGTATAATCACTGATTTTCAGGGCATAGTATTAAAGAATGTAAAGTTAAGTGAAACATGATCCAGTGTGGTATAATCACTGATTTTCAGGGCATTATATTAAAGAATGTAAAGTTAATTGAAACATGATCCAGTGTGGTCTAATCACTGATTTTCAGGGCATTATATTAAAGAATGTAAAAGTAATTGAAACATGCAAAGGTAAGTGAATCATCTACACTTTAGGTAGAATGTGTCAAACCCCTTTCCAATGTTGACATGGTCTCTCCACTAAAGTGTGTTGTAAAATATTTGAAACTGTCATAAAAAAGAAATGGTACATTTTATAGTGATACCCTGGCACCATTTTCAGTAGCTCTTACCCCTAGTGTTATTGGATTTCAAACAGATTACAACCTATGCTTTATTATGGACTTCAAGGGCAGTCTTTGACTATTGTCCTTCAACAAGTATATTGCATCATGTCATTATGATTTCAATTGAATGTTCATTGTTTCAAGATTGTGAGAATTGACAGACCTTGTTATGTGGTAAACACAATACAAATATATGGCATATTCACTTGCTGTGTATGACAGATTCACCTGCAGTATATGGCATACATATGGAAGTACATAATTCTCTGTTGCATAGATTGAACGAACGGACAAAGTTTATGATTATCATAATGATTACTGCATCAACAAGACAGTCATACTATGTCCCGATCTCATGTACATTTACGTTGCAAACAGTGAAAATAATGCTAAAATTGCCGCCTGTTGATGCTTTGAGGTGTCATCAATTGTTATTAAATCCAAATAAAGTAAACATTATTTTGTAGATTTAGACACGGGCTTTCAGATCGTATATGCATTTTAGTCATTAAGTGAACAAGAACGCTAGATTATACGTGTTAATAGGGTATCAAATTGAAATAAAATAACGAAATTAAATATGAACACATTAATGATAAATGACTTTTCGCTATCAGTATAATGACTATCTGCTACTCAGAATAATTTAAATTGCCTGAACTACTTGTGAAGAATCTTTCTGTATAACCCCTTGAATGGTCTAATTCACTATCGTCCTCAAAAACCGATCATTTAAAATATTTTGTTCAAAATACTATCATGCCACGACTTGAGAGCATTTTGTTCTTCACGATTTGCTGTAGCGCTGATATGACATCGTATTTCTCTATTTTTGTAAAAAAAATCGTAGATGGGACAAATTATGTCACGCACATATTAAACAATAACTAAAGATCTAAGAAGGGATGATAGTCATGTGATATATCATTGGAATCTTGAGTCTATGAGCATATTTATGATAATATAATATCATATATTTTCAAAGCTTATATTCATTCCTTTCTTCCCTTGATTCAGCCTACTAAAATTCAAAGGAAAAAAAATTGAGATGGGACAATTCTCTGTCACGCACGTTTAAAGGAAAATCTCATACTTATCTTGATCTAAAGATGTTAAACGTGATGAATCATAAAATATGTGCTATGAGCATTCTCTACATACCAAATATGTTATCATTTGTTTTCACGATATCATTTTAGACTGCTATTAAAAACACCCTTGCTAATCAATTTTTACGTCAAAATATTTTGGAACAAAAGAATGCTGAATTTGACCAAGTCATATTACCTGGTCCAAAAACATGCAAAGCAATGCAACTAAACTTAAAATTATAGTATATGTAGTAAAAGGGCAATGTTTTTATGACATTATAAAAAAAATCTAGTTGAACCTCACTAGAAAAACATAATTTCGTGTATTTAAATGACGAGAGTCTTTGAAACCCGTCATATTTCTATCAATTTTTTTCTTCGTACAAAACAGACACAAGTCGCAAAATGTTTGCTATGTAAACAAAATGAATACAAAACATATATTTTTAACGTCAAATTCTAGTTAAACATATATAGAATAAGTATTAATGATATCTTTTTCATAGGTTTGATTTTTAAATAAGATAATAAGGGCCTAAGGTCCTTACCAACATTTATTTTTCGAGTTTTACATATTTTTACCATTTCTTGGGCATCCAAGATGGCGGATATGCGTTGATGACGTCACAAGATCATGTGACGTCATAAACGCCCATTAGCAATTGTTGTCCCATACCGAATTTGAACTAAATTGGTTAAGGAATAAAAAAGTTATGACCAAATTACCATATTTCAAAATTATCAAATGCAATGTTTTACATGGTAAAAATGTGCACTTTAAAACTCAATAGAGTCTTTTAAGCGTCCCTTATCTGAAAAATAAAAAATAAAAATTAAATATTAATATTTATTATATATATATTAATAAAACCATTGTTCAAGAGTCTTCCGAAAATAGATGTACCATTGCGTGTTAGTAATTCTGTAAATGTACATGAGATCGGGACATAGTATGAGTATATTAATATATACATCAGTTGGAATCTATATTGTTTGGAGTTGTTTTGATGTATGTGATGCATAGACAAACAAACACTACAAGGGAAAACATGACATAAATAAACGAACCTACAATGTGCAACCATGAATATATGCCATATTCCGCATAACAGACCTTGCATGGTGGGATGAGGTTGAGACTATTATCTTCTGTTTTAGATTTTTGTTTGAGAAAAATCTTATTTTCCGATACTTATGACACTTCTTGACACTCATTGCTACATATTGATATCGTTGACTTATTGGTATTTACAATGTGTCTCATATGACTTACTAATAACAATACATTATTTTCTTTTGCAATAATTGAGAATTTATTTCTCATAACATTGAATGACACTTTATTTCAAGGTTTGGTCCTTGTAACCTGGTAAACACGGTTTCCTCTGTCATTAATGTAGTCGATTGTCATCTGCCTTTCAGAGATTTCAAAATATACAAAGCCATGGTCTGCCTCATGCATCACACTCTCTATACCAACTGTAACCTCTAATTCAGGAATAGCCAGGGGGTTCTGAAGATAAAGACTTCTTCCACCTCCACCACTTAAAATGTAATCAATGTCACGGCCATCTATTTTACGTAGATACTCAAGATTGTGATCATGTCCAGAAAGATATACATCAGCATTGGCTGCCTCCATAGCTGGTAGAACATATCTCCTTATACTTGTGGATCCAGGGGCATGACCTCCAGTGGTATATGGAGGATGATGGCCAAAGACAATTTTCCAATCTGCATTTGAATTTGACAATTGATCATCGATAAAAGTAATCTGACTCTCACGGTCATTGAGATTTCGCCTTAGAGCCTGTGAATCTATAGCAACAAAATGTACTGTGGAACTGCCAGCTGGCATTGTGAAGTTGTAATAAAGGTTGGGGAGACGCCATCGGGGCTCAATATTTCCAAAATCTACCTGATACCATTCATTGTTTGTAATACCAGACTGCCCATAATCATGATTTCCAACTGTGATATACCATGTCAGGTCAGAGATACCAGGAAGATTGTAGATGTCCCTCCATTTTGTTGTGAACTGTTCATCATCAGCTGACCAGACACCATCAGGATAAAAGTTATCACCAGTTGAAACGATGAAATCAATCGGACCATTAGCTTGGGCATGGTTTGACATGGCTTCGGCAACATTATCTTGGTTAATGTCAGCAACTCCCCAATCACCAATAGCATAGAATTTTAATTGGGCATCTAAAATTAAAATTTGAAAATATCAAACAAACCAAGATCTTATTCAGAGACCATATATAGGCTGATACAAAATATCCTTATTCAACTAATATTTTACAGTTTGGAATGGAATTAAACCAATTGGAGAGCTCCGGTGAACTATGTTTACATTTTTAGAGAACATTAGTAAAGAAAGTGAACCATTTGTAACAGCTGGCTTAGTAAGTTCAAAAGATATTATGAAAAATATTAGTACAATTGACATTAAGAAATTACATTTGGAATGAAATATCTGTTTGATTTAACACAAAAATCATCTTTTTAATCATTGATCACCCCTTGTAGTTACCTACTTGTTGATGTTGCCCCAAGTACCAAAAGTAGCCCCAGCAAAATCTAAAAAATAAATTTGATGCATAAGGAGCAAAATTCAAAAATGCACATCAAGTTTATTCTTTCAGAACAATGAAGGATGTTGGATTAGATTCAAAATATAACATTAAAAAATATCAAATCATTTACAAGATTACAAGGTTTAACATTATACTTCAGTACTTACCATTGTGTTTGAGACAGGAGTTTTTACTTTTCTAAACTTTCTTTATCTGAAACATTTATTTATAGTCTGTTATATTGTTATCTGATATGATTTAGTCAGAGCCATTCACATACATTTTTATATCAAACTTTTTTTATCTGAAGCATTTGTTTATAGCCTGCTTTTTGGTTATCTGATATGTTCTAGTCGGTGCCATTCACATAAATTTTCATTTTAGTTCAAATGTAGGCTACTTTTGTAATGTCAGAATTCAACATGATTTCTAAATATTCGCTGTTCTACTTTTCTACTTGTGTTTCAATGTAAGAAAAGTGTAGAACTGCTTAGTTTTTTGGCATTTTTCTTCCTAAAATCTTGTCTGTCCAGGCTTGTATACAGGTAGGTGTCAAGCCGAACCATTCCAGGGATTCATTTGAAATTTTCAGGGATGTTTCTGCCTATGTAATTTTAAAACTGATTACTTTTTCGGCATAGGGGTAAATGTTAGGGTGGCCATTTTGGATTTTCCGTCCTAAAATCTTGTCTGTCACAGCTTGTCTACAGGTTTCCAACCAAACTGTTTCAGGGATTCATCTGAAATTTTTAGGTATGTTTCGACCCATGAAAGTTAAGAACTGATTTTTTTGGGTATTCTGGGTAAATGTTAATGCACCCATAAAATCTTTTCATCTGTCTAGGCTTGTCTAGATTTCCAGCCGATGTCACAACAACCCACAAAATCTAACTACAACAAAATTCTGGGTAAATGTTAATGCGCCCATAAAATCTTTTCATCTGTCTAGGCTTGTCTAGATTTCCAGCCGATGTCACAACAACCCACAAAATCTAACTACAACACAATATCAAGCCATAGAACCAAATCACCCTTTGTGAAAAATTGATAATGCATATGTGCTGAGTCTTTATTTAGTAGGAAGGAGTTCCTTGGCCAAGCCTTACTTGTTATTTTTACTTTATTTCTCTGATAAAATTGACAATGTCTGGTAAATGAACAGGTGCAGTTTTTTTATTTTTGTTTTAATGTTAAATAAAAAGGAGGTCATTTCACACTCTTTATAAAGCAGATTGTCATTCCCATTAATTTAGTTGGGTTGGTCAATTTTTCTCGAATGAAATGAAATTTTTTCTTAATAAAAATCTGTCATTTGTTTTGAAATTATTTGATAAAAGGACTTTGTTTGCAAATTCTTGAACTCTCTGTGTCTCCTATCTTTGTAAATAGTAAATCTATTTTCTTTAAATATCGGGTGGGCATAAAAATGGGCTGTACTTTGATATTGCATTGCTCCATTTTCCTTTCAACCCTTTCAAACTTGGAACAACCAAGATGTTGGCTTGATATTGTATATATACATACATTTGAGTAATCTGTTCACCACTTAACAGGTTTAAATGAAAAACATTTGCCTCAAATTGCATGTTCTGGTGAGCCACATTTCTTTACCTGTCAGGCTTCATGAGTAGAGCATGTGCTACACCCTTGTGACACACATTAATCATCTGTTTTCTGGATGAATTGTCTAGCTCTAGTGCCAAAGGAAGATATTTCTGAAAAATTGAATCAATGAAAAGGATTGGAGAGGGGCAAGAATTGTGAAAGAATTTCCAGGGAAAATGAATAAAAGTCCAGTAAAAGTTGAAAGGATTGGTTCTGAAAAAGGAAATTCAACCACTGGATGGCCAAAGTTCAAAGATCTTGGATAAAAAGTGAATACAGACTTTAAAAAGGGATCAGATGGTTTGACAAATTAGATAAACAAGCTGCAGAAAGGAGGAGGGAAGTTAGCGCAACAGATTTTGGACAGTCATATGTTTGATTTTGGCCATTTCCTGGGCATTTAAACAGGTGCATGTATTTGGCCAATGCATTACCTCCAGGAAAATCACTTCTAGAGATTATAAAATAATTTCGACTTTGAGACAGGGTAGATGCATCAATATGTTGCGTTTTGACACACAGTTAATCCCTTAAAAGGAATAAATGATTCCTTTTAGATAAAGTGGAAAACAATATTTCCCATGTTATTTTCCCATAGGAAAAATCATTGCTTTCAGCTAAGTTTGGTCACCCATAATGGGTATCTTTAAAACCCCCGAATGAATCACTTATTCCTTTAAAGTGGTTAACTATGTGTCAAAATGCAGCATACTGATGCAAGAAAAATTAAAAAAGCAGGGATGGAAGGGGTCGAAAATTAGGAAAACATTTCAGAAAAAATATGTGGGTGGGTTGTTTGCATCTACCCTGTCTCAAAGTCGAAATTATTTTATAATCTCTAGAAGTAATTTTCCTGGAGGTAATGCATTGGCCAAATACATGCACCTGTTTAAATGCCCAGGAAATGGCCAAAATCAAACATATGACTGTCCAAAATCTGTTGCGCTAATTTCCCTTCTCCTTTGCCAATAAGTTTTTGATAGAGAATGCGAAGAATGTGAAGAAAATTTCTTCACAAAAAGATTTCCCTTTTGAGATTGTGTGCAATAGACAGATGATCGTTTCTATGGCAAACGAAAGTGGGACATTCTTGTTAAGAGTCTGCTGGAAAAGTTCATCTTGAGGACATTTTAGACTCAATTAGTTCATGGATCAATGTTTTCGCACTATATACAGAGAAAATGGAGGACCAATTGAATACCTTTTGAGGTGAAACGAGGAAGAACATCATTTTAAAATGTCCATACCATGCATTTTTGACTGAATGAGAGAGTCTTGAAGGATGAAACTGAAAGGTACATGTGCAGTATAGCAAGTGATTTTAGACGGTCATATCTTTCACCATGAGTACTTTCTTGTCACAAATACAGTGGTTTTATTATAACAATATGTTTTCTTTCAAGTAAAGTTCCCATGATAGTAAAATATAAATTCAACTCTTTGAAAAATTGTGGTTTAGAACCCCAACCTGGTACTTTTCTATTTCAAATTGTTAGGCTTATTTTCCTAAAGAGGATCTTGTTTTTATCAATTAAAACATATCGAAAGTTTCTTCTACACTATATATTATCAAATTCTTAAAATTGAATGGGTATTGAAATCCATTAAAGTTAAAAACCTTATATCTCATGCTATTTTCCCATAGGGAAAATGTGTGCTATACATTGTTTTCAACATGATTTTTGTCATTGAAAATTGATATCTTCAAAACTAGACTTTTAATACCATTCTACTTTTAAAGAAGTTTTAGACCCCTTGTTGAATAAGCTTTTCATGCAATGAAAATTAGAAAAAGAAGATAAATAGGTTCAACATTTTGATAAAACTGGGGTCCCTATTCATATTTTTTTGAATTGTTTGATCTATATTTTTATCATCATGGGTACTTCACTTGAAAGAAAACACATTGTCTTAATAAAACCCACTGCATTTATGCCCAGAGAGTAATCATGGTGAAAGATATGACTGTCTAGAATCACTTGCCATACTGCACATGATAATGATAGTTTTTTAGTTTTTGACCACTCGGCCAATTCGACTACCCCTTTTCGAAAACTTGTATGTTCAGATAACATGAGGGCACGTGTGTTTAATAATACATTTTAGTACATATAAACTTTTATCATGACTGTGACCTTCAATTGACATGTGTTTAATTCCCTTGTGTCTTGTGACTTGTGTCATTTATATGCAGAGTGATTCAAATCACTGGACTTACAGAGTATTCCCCATGTAAAGTTTAAATTACTTTAGCTGAAATTCATATCAAAATATGATAGCATTAGTGCACCTTTTTGATTATCCTTTTAGAACAAAGTTTTAGTTGTCACATACGCCTATTTAAATCCAATATTACACCAATCCTTTGCCTAAAGTCTCATTGTCCAAGTACATCTCTCTAAACAATCTGATATGTGAACGAAGTAGTGATACTTTTTATATGATCTTATATAATTGTTCGACTCCTTTATTCAAAAGATAGATTTTATATTTGTCATTTTCATATGAACATCAGCAAGGAGGGCTTGATAGTTGTGAGCATACATCACCCATTTCTCACTGTACCATCCATTAATCAAAAGATGAATAGAGGCCATTTCAAAGGCATTGATTCCAACAAATTGTTTCACTTAGATCTGAATTACAAGCTTAGATTTAACGAGAAGATGAGTTTTCCTAACCTACATGTAAACCTTTCTAGATAGAAACTGGTGGTCCGATTAATGAACACCATCTTGTTTTATCTGGGGCCCAGGGTTGGAAGAGTGATACACTGTTACACTGATGCACTGTGGGTACACTGTCATTGCGGCTGTTAAGATTCTTTCAGACATCTAATATTTCACTGCAATTGCTACATCACCCAGTACACTCGAATGTCTTTGTATTCAGAATTTATTAAGCACCTGTTAATGCGCTTGCATTGTAAGTGTCAACTGAGCATCTCCTATGCATTGATATCAAAGAGGTCGATTATTTATAGTCGAGTTTCACGATGTATACATTTCCGAAGTGATGAGAATTTGTACTAGTGATGTTGTTTTAGAATTACTTGGCAACATTGTTGCATCTTTGTTTCTGTTGTATCATTCAGAATATCTCGGAGGTAATCTATTAGAAATCTGGAATTTACCACTGATTGTTTTCCTAGGGATATGTTCATCAATGGCATGTAGTAATGTAGACTTAAAATCCAACCAATTTACCTTGATTGATCTGTTTGTTGATTTTTACTTAAAATTGCTAGACTCCATTTGCAGTCTACTTCCTGTCTATTCTTGCATATAGATGGGTACTTTTTAAGGTTTTCTGTATTTTTTCTTTTTTATGTATCTCTCTTGAAACTGACTGATGCCCCTATATAGGGCCAATCTAGCATATAGTTTGAAATACAATTTATTACTAACTCCAGAATGAGGCAATCTACACTGAAGGAAATATAAAGTACTTTGGAAAATCCCCGGCTGATACCATAACAATTTGGTAGTCTAGAAAATTCTCTTGTGGTGCATATTTCCATTAGCATACAGCTTATCGATGGAAATTTGAAGTTCATGTAAATCACTGGGTCATTGTTACGTTGTTTATAGAATGAACCAAATAGAATGTTGCCATTAGATAACACTTGAGTCCAAACACACAACACTTTAGTCCGTACACACCATACACACACCACTTTTACGATGTCCAAAGCTCATCAGCACCTAGTTTATGTTCTTTCATATAAAGTGATGGGCTGAGGTAATCCTGGTTGAAATTTTATTTGCTATCTATAGTACCTTTGAAAACCCCACTTTTTAAGATATTATTTTTGAGACCCTCATTTTTTTATTTTTAAATCCAGATTCATTTTTATGATTCTTTTTTAGAAACAATGATTTTAAAATTCTTTGTTTTTTGGTCTTAATTATTTAGGTCTCTACTCTACAATTGATTAGTTTTGGGGCATTCTGGAATCTGGGTGAATGTTAAGATCGCCATTTTGGACTTTCCATCCCGAAAGCAGTCTATACTATTCAAACGTGCAATACTGTTTACTTTGTGTCTTTTTTTACCTGTTCATGTACTGTCTCTGGTATGTCAATTGTCGAGAGCAGCTTGTGTTTCCTTCCAATAACCGGTATGAGAGGAATCTCCCCCCTGTCTGTGTTAACCCCAGGAACCAGGTTGATTGATTGCCTGCTATTTGACATTCTGCCTTGGACAAACATTTTCTTATCCAGAATATATTATTGCTGAAACTGAATGCCTTTCTCATCTATGTTCCTTGTACTTGTATCTACAACTATTTTTGAGGTTATGAGTATTGGCTAGATCTTTTCTCTTGTTAGGTTGTTTTCTATTATAATTGCAGCCATTAGTCTCAAACTATTTCTTTATGACACTTTGGTTAATCAAAAACAACCTTGATGTCAAGAGCCCTTGCAGCTCTCTGAGGGCAAGAGAGGGCAAGTTTTAATGGTGCCGTTTGAGGCCCTGTTATTTTTCTCAAAATATGAAATTTATAATTTGAAATGCCAATTTCAAATGAATGTGTTTCTTTTATATTATATTTTACATCTTTGGTATTCGTTTGCAATCTGTTTGATGTACAATAAACAATTAATAATGAGCTGTCGTATAATAACAAGCTCAAATCTGAGTAGTCTTCTTGGTTTGTTTTTAGAACTGTAGATGGAATATGAATCATGAGATAATTTCAATATTAGGCCAGTGGCTTGATAATTTATGTGAACTCTAATTGACTTATACATTGAATCATCAAGTCAATCTTTCCGAGGTTACATTCTTGTATAATTAAATCCATAACGGTAGCTGAACTTCCACCGAGAATCAATCAAAAAGAGCATAATGGATTATTACCATGTAAGCACTGTCTGGCTTTTTATAGATCCAAGGACATTTATTATCGTGGCTATAATACCCCTCAGGCCAGGCATGGTTGTCATAACCTCCTCCAAAGTCATTTTGATAATTGTTTCTCAACATACATATTATTTTCAGAGCTCGCTGTGGATCTATAATTATTTTCTCTCCTTGATTTAAGGAAACTGTTAGTGGCACCATCCAATAGATAGTCTAATAAGGGTCAGCAATATGATTAAGTTCAAGTAGGCTCATACTGGCAGGGTGAAGATGTAGGGTGCCTTCATTATATTCCAAATAGTGGACCTTTTAGCTTAAATAATGATTACCCAATTAGCATTTGAATAGATTTTATTGCCTCATCCTATTTAAGCCGGCAGGTTGAAACTGACCGTAGAGGAACTACTTTTGACCCATATATCGATTCAATGTTTTTCAAGAGGGTTATCATTCATAACGTCAAATGACTATTTTGGACCCTGTTGCTTTAATAGCTTATTAGCATGATTTTGGACTTCCTTTCCAGGGGGCAATACTGTTCACTATTCACATCTTAAACTTACACCAATGATAACATGTTCGCTAGAAACCTCATAAAATAGATTATATAGTATTATATCACCGTTAGTTGAAATATTTTCAAGTGAATATACATGTACACTCTTCTTTGTTGTCCACACAGTGTGTTGCATTAAGGTAATCCATAGTGAGTTTTTTCCTGTGCGGATGGTTGGTTGTAAGTTTTAATATCGCATCCTTTGTTGAGTTGCTGAATTTAGGTATCATCTCTAAGTTTTCAGGTTGGGCTCATCCACTCGTGGAAAATCTACAGCAATTGAGCCTGCAAAAACCTGTATTCATTATCAAATTTTAAATATATCCTACCTTAAATACAAGCGTAATCACTTTGGTTTTATTACGTCCCCACCAAAAAGTGGTGACATATGGTTATGGTCTTCGTTTTTTGTGACGACAGCTCGCGATCGGCAGTTGGGGTCTGTAACAAATGGTGGTGACATTTTGCATGTTAATGCCTTGCCGTTCCTGATGGCTCCATGACCTCACTTATTATTAAGTCCTCTCCTGAGTTAATCATAGGGGTGGTGTTTAACCTGTCCCTCATGAAAAGTTTTCTCATTGTCCGATCATAGATTGTCATCATCATGAGCCCTCCTCCAAAGGGGACCTCGTAGAATGATTGTATTGTGACATGTCAATTATTTAAGGCACTCTCCGAGCATAGGATCTGTTCCAAAGGTTTTATTTTCAGAGCATTGTTATCCCAATGAACGAAGTTCGGTAGGGATATAGTGAAGCCCTCCGTCCATCCGTCAGTCAGTCAGTCCGTCCGTCCGTAAACTAGACTTTTAAGCTGTGGAAAGAGAGTTCTCAATAAACACGAATGGCTGTACAACAAGTATGGTTTGACAAAATATGCACTTATGCAGTCCTGGAAAAATACCTGGATATGGGTATTGGGGAACTAATTTAAATTACAGAAGCGTCTTGATATGAACAGAAGAAATAAATCAAGTTAAATAATCAAGCTTAACAAGTTATATATTTAAAAACTAAATAAACTATTATAGTTTAGGGCTTGCCCTTGTGATAATTGTCCAACTATAATACAGAAATACAAAAAAATGAAAAAATGGTGAGGATTATAATAGATCCTAATTTACATAACGCCCCATCATAATATCGAAACGGGGATATATCAGTATTTTAAACAGTTTAAATACTAATATGAATATTACATTTTTATGTAAAATCTTTTAAGTGAACATTCCTTCCAAAAGATTTTTTCATTTCCTCTGAATGTTTAACTACACGATCACGGAGACCCTTCTCATACTTTATTTCCCTGGTGTTGGTGGTTTGGAGTGACTAGATAGTTTGCACTTTTAATGCTCTACTTGCTTTTCCTGCTTTTCCTCGTTTTCCTCGTTTTCCTCTTTGCATGCTTAATTCCCTTTGTGGTTTGCACTTTCACCTTTTATTGACTTTATGTAGCAATATTGATGTGGCTGAGTTGGAGTATTTTGGTAAGTGGTCCGAAAATGACTTTAAACTATACAAAATTTTTCCGGTTTATACACATGGTGTATAGTCTAAATAGTCCATTAATCCCATACCCTAATAGGTTAAACATAAATTTTTTAAATAAAATAAATATACATATGATTTTTTAAAAAGTTTAAAATACTGAGTAAATGGTATAGATATATGAATAGAAAAATAAAATAAATAAAAAATGTTAACTATAAAAATGGAAAACTAATGAAAAATGTTAACTATAAAAATACACCGTACACTGAAGCGTTCATGGACTTGTTAATATAGTCCAGGGACCCAGTTATATCTTATTTATTGAATCCATGCAGGGAAGGGGAGTGTTTCCATGGACTAAAACCTTAAACCCACCTATGCCCAGTCACAAGCCTGAGGAACCTGCTTTTATATCTAATGTGGATTTTTATCTTACCAATCATGACTTAAATATTAATATGGGTATTTCCTATAATTAATATATACTGGATTTTAACTTACCAAATATGACTTCAATATTAATATGGGTTTAAACCTATAATAAATTAAATACTGGATATGACAAATAAATAAAATCAATTATAATCTACCTATATGATGTAGATATCCAAATGTTGGTCTGAATTTATCTTTGTGGAAAGATTGTATGCTTCAGTTGCTCTTTAACAAAACATGTGGGACAGTGTATCTATATATTACAAGACGTCCGTCCGGAAGATAACTCAAATATTAGTTGACAGATTTTCTTCATATTTTGTGGAAAGATGTATATTGATGAATAGTTTTTTTTCGCTTTAAGAATGACGGGATTTTTTTCGCAAAAATCATAAATTTTTCATTCTAAACCAAAGTAATTAATATTATTGTTTGAAATTTTGGTAGTATATTTGCAACATTTATCTTTTTCACATATATTCTGTGTTTTTCATCCTGACCCCCAGGGCCCATGTCAGGAAAACAGAAAAAAAATATAATTTTTAGATCTTTCTGAAGTATAGCTTTATTATACTCAAATGAAAGGCAATTAAGAGTAGAATGCAAATATTGTATCTTTTTTCTGATTCGTGCCTCGTAAAATTCAAAATGGCCATCTAATGTATGATTTCGCAATAATTTTTCGATCCCTTCAGCTTATGGCTATATAATACTCAAATTGAAGGAATTTTGGAGTAGATCACAATTATGGTAATATTTTTCAGATTTGTACCTCAGAAAATTCAAAATGGCTGCTTTGCAGGAATTCGCAATTCTAAAATCTAAATTTTAAACAAAGTAATGAGTTTAATTGATTGGAATTCGGTAATTGATATTTTGTTCGTTGGGATTTGCTACTCCGCGGAGTTGCCATTATCTAGTTTAAATTGTTGCAGAGCACTCTATATGGAAACCCTAAGAAGGCAGAATTTCAGCTTCACTTTTCTTTCCCAGCACAATTTCCCAGTCCTCATCAATATTGCTACACAGATAAACTTCCACAATTTTCATTAAGTCACGGACATTCAGGAAATGAAATTTGTAGCCTCTTGGGGTCTAAATCTTAAAATCCCACACACGAAGCCCTTTTATTTATCCTTCTATTAAAAAGTGTAACAGCTGTCATTTAGATTGGGGTAAGGTGGAGTAGCCTGGATGGTGTTTGGCAGTTGGTGTTTGGTGTTTGGCATCTGTGAAAATGCATGTTAATACCTTGTTGAAATCTTGTTACATGAAGTGACCAACATTTATATTATTAATTCTATGCAAGAAAATGTCATAAAAACATTTACTACTTCTTATACTCTTCCGTCCTCATTGACAATACTTGTAGTTTAAAGTATATGGAAGTGTTTAGAATATAAAATCAAGAAATGTATACCCACAGATGGATATAATAATGTCAAACATATGAAATATCTGAATATTTAGTTTTAGCATGAATAGTCAGAAATACAATGGTGGGGAAATATCTAGTAATTGTTTGTTGTATAATGATAATCCTTTATGCTTCTAGATTGAAGGATGAACTTGGTGAACTGAAGCTGAAGTGGGATGGTCAGATTGCAGCTATGTCTAAAGACAATGTTGCAAGAGATGTTGAAAATGAGCACCTGAAAGATAGCAATGATAAACTTACAAATGAACTGCATCAGAGGAAACTTGACTTGGAAAGGTAATGTTGAAATATTAGTGTGCGCCAAAACTCCAGAAAATCCCATAAACTGATGCTGAAGAAATTACTAAGAAACCCATAATCATTATAGATTGGTTCATTGACTATTCATTTTTACTTTTCTGCAGTCAAAAAGGTGACATGTAAGGGCTAAAGTTCAACCAACAAAAAGATGAGTTTGAAAACTTTTTTCAAATAATGACAGTGAGTATAGGAAATAGGAGGAAATTTTGATATTGATATGTTTGATAATCAATTTGGGTGTGGTCATTTTTATTAAAAACAATAATGGAGAAGAATTATATATTTTTGACCTTTAAATGCTATTTTATTTAATTCAAAAGTCACAGTTTTTAATAATAATATTCCTTATAATATTTTACCTATCCAAAGTTTTCTAAGTATTTCAATTACCATTATATTAGTTTTTTGCAAAGTAAATAATTATAGGTCTCACACAAGGATCAACTTTATTCACAACTTTTTCATATTTAGGAACACAATTTCATTTGTTAAATGTTAAACAAAATAATGATAATATGTTGTTTCAACTGAAAAATCACAATTCATTGCTTTTGCTTCTAGAGTGGCAGGGCATTTGATCCTTGTGTGATCCCTTCAATTATTTACTTTGCCAAAAACTAATATAATGGTTATTGGGATATATGAAAATCATTTGATAGGTAGAAAATAGGAATAATATCATTGACTTTTGAATAAAAAAGCATTATATAGTCAGAAATACCAAGTTTTTACCATAATTGTTTTTAATAGAATAACCATACCCATATGGACAATCTTTACATATCAATAACAAAATTTTGCGAAATATGTTTTAAAATTGCAATTTTGGAAACGCACCTGCTTATACTGATTCAATTCAAAAACCACAAGAGAACGTAAATCTTTCATGAAAAACTTTGTCAGCGTGACTGAATATTACTAAGTGCAGTCAATGACCTTGTGTTTGGATAACCTCTCTTCTCTTATAAATTTACTTCAAATAGGCAAATTTTATTCAAATCGGCATAATAAAACGGAAATGATCGACTATTATGTTTGAATTGTAAATTGAAAAAGTATGTTGCACTACCCGAGTTGTATGGAAAATTGATTTGACATGATTTATATTATATTATTAACAAATAATGTCAATCCGATGGAATTGTAACTTAATGACCTGACCTTTATGTAATGTTTAAATTGGATAAACTGAGAGAAATAGACTTCAATTATTTAATTTTCTATCAGAATTAGTAAAATTGTTACTGTTCAAAATATAAATGTTGCAATGAAAGCCCACCCATATCTTGTTTCATATCAGTCGAGTGCAGCTGCTACAGGTATCACTCGGACACAATTTTAATTCAATGTCCAAGCAGAATGTTGGACAAAATGGCTAACTGTTAGATAAAACATCAATACTGCAATTGCCAAAAGCTGCATTTATAAAATCAATTCCTGTCTCACCTCTATTACACCCATTATTTTGTCAAGATCACTGTCTGAAAGCTAAAAAAATATCAAATTCAATAATGGGATAATCCAAATAAAAATATCTACATGTAACATAATATAAGTGTTTTCTTTTATATGTAGTCTAGATGTCATTTTAATAATTTCTGTTAAACCGCAACATATACCTATATGTTGCGGTCTAGTCTAGTCTAGTCTAGTGGCTTGTTTTTATAGTGTATATTATATAAGAATTATGAAATAAATAAAATTGAATTGAATTCAATGCTAGCTTTATCACAACAAACTTTTGTTATAAATAATTGCAGTAAAACATGAAAATAGAAGGCCCATTTGATATTAATATGTAAAGATAGTCCACTTTGGTGTGGTAATTTTACTGCAACAACTATAATGCCTTTTTATTCTAAAGTCAATCATTTTATATTCCTATTTTTCCTATTAAATGATTTTTATATATCCAAATAATTGTTATATTAGTTTTTGGCAAAGTAAATAATTGTAGGGCTCACACAAGGATCAACTATTTTGAAGATTATTTCAAGACTGGTATATACCCTGCCGCTCTAAGAGCAAGAGCAATGAATTGCGATTTTTCAGTTGAAACAAACACAATATTATCATTTTTAAAAAAAATTTACAAATAAAACTGTGTTTTTCAAAACATCACTAAATATGAGATCCTTGTGTGAGTCCTATAATTTTTTGCTTTGCCGAAAACTAACAATGTTAATTGTAACATTTAGAAAACATTGAATAGGTAAACTAGAATATTATCATTAGCATTATTATCATTTTGAATTAAAATTGCATTTCAAGGTCAGCAGTGTATAATTCTTCACCATTATTGTTTTTAATAAAAATGACCACACCCAAATGGACTATCATACATATCAATATCAAATTTGCCTCCTATTTTTATTATCCTAGCTGCTATTATTTGAAAAAAACTCATCTTTTTGATAGTTGCACCTTGGGGCAAGCTGTTTAGCCCTTTCGTGTCACCTTTTTGACTGCAGACAAGAGAAAATGAATGGTCAATGAACCAATCTATAATGACTATGGGCCACTTCTTAGTAATATACCCCAACATCGGTTTGGACTAACTAAGCCACTTTGGAAGCAATTTGGTGCTAACTATATTAAAATGTTATTGCTTTCTGTCATGAAACTGAAAGGTAGTCATACTTTACCTTGAGTCCAATTGTTTTTGGGAGTCTACTTGTTCATGTTCATTATAACATTTTTTTAACAGATTTATGCTCAATGCTTGTGCTGTTAAAATTAACATGGCCATTGCAACCCCTGAAGGATAAACATGGAACACTTAGTTTCACTGAAAAGCTAAAAATAATGTTAAAATAAGTTGGATGAAATATCAGGATAAGATGATTGCAATAAATTGTAAAATAAAACCTAGACAAAAGTATAAATAAATTAATGCACACATACAATCAGTACAATATTTATATTTTAGATACCAGAAAGAGTTAAATTTAGCTGTTGAGAGACAGAGGGATCTAGAGCGCTCCAAAGCTCAATTGGACCTGGACTGGCAGGAGCGATACGATGATGTAGAGAGGAGCCAATATGAGAAATCTGAAGATTTGATAAAGTCATTAACTGATGCACGAGATGAGGTAGATAAATATGCGATGATAAAAAGAGGCATTCCATATACTTGACTATCTTTATTGACTATCTTTCTTCTGATTACAAAAACAACTGAGAGATAAGTGGAGATGCTGGCTTGAACATTTATATATTTGCTTTTATATTTAATATACTTCTTGAATAGGATCTTTGGATCCTATTCCAAATCATTCTTAATTATGAGGTCAATGTATTTTGAGATATAATGTATATAGAGCAATCACAAACTATTAATAATTCCATACATTCAGAGACCTTCTTTAAGTGCTCATATTGTTAACTTTATACATGTATGTATAACATAACTTGAATTCTAGGCACTTGCTACTATTAAAGAAATCAAGCGAGAATTAGCTCAGAAGGTAGACCTCATAAAGGCTTTGACAGTGGACAAGAACCAAGCATTTGCAACATTGAAACAGCATGGCATTAACATAGATAGGAAACATGAGGTATTATTATATCACTATTTTATGTCATGTTTAGATGTGATATTTATGATTATTTAGGTGTGGCCTTAGGCTCACTCAAAATATGTCATGTTAATACATGTATGTGGTGTATTGTTAAAATGTGATGTCATGTAAATATATATGGTGTTGTATTAATGTTTGAATATTTCATGTAAATGTTTGATGTATATTCAGACAGGATCTGTGCCTCAAGAAATGTTAATACATGGTGTCATATTAATGTTTGAACATATCATGTAAGTGTTTGATGTATATTCAGACAGGATCTGTGCCTCAAGAAATGTTAATACATGGTGTTGTATTAATGTTTGAATATTTCATGTAAATGTTTGATGTACTGTATATTCAGACAGGATCTGTGCCTCAAGAAATGTTAATACATGGTGTCATATTAATGTTTGAACATTTCATGTAAGTGTTTGATGTATATTCAGACAGGATCTGTGCCCCAAGAAATGTTAATACATGGTGTTGTATTAATATTTGAATATTTCATGTAAATGTTTGATGTACTGTATATTCAGACAGGATCTGTGCCTCAAGAAATAAAGGTGTTGCAGCAGCAGAATGATAACCTAAGAGCTGTAGTACACCAGATGAGACAACAGATGGAGTATTTGGGTACACATGCACCCAGAGATACTAATAACACAAAGTCATCAGGTATAAGACAAAATCTGAACTAATAGGAAGTAATTATTGTAAAGCTCTTTCACATTCCCCCTTTATATTAGAAAATTCACTTTTTATATTAGTTTTTGATTATGGCTTCACATTTTAAGTTTCTTGTATTTGGAAGTCTATGGAAAAAATACTTTACATCTAGGCTATAACAACTCCTTTTTATCACACTATCGGTGGGATATAGTCGTCACGATGACGGCGTTTTATATCAGGTTCTAGAACTGATTTACTTTTTGGCGACCATCTGGTTTTCTGGTGGCCATTTTGAAGGTTTTTCAATAAATCTTGTCATCGCCATATTCGGATTTTCTCAAAATCCACACACATGATCATGATGATAGAGGATATCTAGTTGAAGAACTGATTAACTATTTTGGGTGCCCATCTTGTTTTCTGGTGGCCATTATGAAGGTTTTTCAATAAATCTTGTCATCGCCATATTCGGATTTTCTCCAAATCCACACACATGATCATGATGATAGAGGATATCTAGTTGAAGAACTGATTAACTATTTTGGGTGGCCATCTTGTTTTCTGGTGGCCATTATGAAGGTTTTTCAATAAATCTTGTCATCGCCATATTCGGATTTTCTCCAAATCCACACACATGATCATGATGATAGAGGATATCTAGTTGAAGAACTGATTAACTATTTTGGGTGGCCATCTTGTTTTCTGGTGGCCATTATGAAGGTTTTTCAATAAATCTTGTCATCGCCATATTCGGATTTTCTCCAAATCCACACACATGATCATGATGATAGAGGATATCTAGTTGAAGAACTGATTAACTATTTTGGGTGGCCATCTTGTTTTCTGGTGGCCATTATGAAGGTTTTTCAATAAATCTTGTCATCGCCATATTCGGATTTTCTCCAAATCCACACACATGATCATGATGATAGAGGATATCTAGTTAAAGAACTGATTAACTATTTTGGGTGGCCATCTTGTTTTCTGGTGGCCATTATGAAGGTTTTTCAATAAATCTTGTCATCGCCATATTCGGATTTTCTCCAAATCCACACACATGATCATGATGATAGAGGATATCTAGTTGAAGAACTGATTAACTATTTTGGGTGGCCATCTTGTTTTCTGGTGGCCATTATGAAGGTTTTTCAATAAATCTTGTCATCGCCATATTCGGATTTTCTCCAAATCCACACACATGATCATGATGATAGAGGATATCTAGTTGAAGAACTGATTAACTATTTTGGGTGGCCATCTTGTTTTCTGGTGGCCATTTTGAAGGTTTTTCAATAAATCTTGTCATCGCCATATTCGGATTTTCTCCAAATCCACACACATGATCATGATGATAGAGGATATCTAGTTGAAGAACTGATTAACTATTTTGGGTGGCCATCTTGTTTTCTGGTGGCCATTTTGAAGGTTTTTCGATGGTGTGATCTCGTTCACGTCTTGTTATAGATTACACAGATGCTTTAGAAAAAGAGGTGAAGAATTTGAAGATCAAGATTCGTCAGTTGGAACAGAAGCCTTTTGAAACAGCCTCTGAAGAGAAGACTCCACCAAGCAATGATGATATGAAGAATCTTGTGGGAGATAATGTCATTGTAAAGGCACACGTCCAAGCTTTGAATGATACCATAGGTGAGAGGGGATAAACCGCATGTCAATCAACACTATTAGGTGTATACTTTAAACGCTTATCCTTATAACATGATAAAGACAAATTTCGTCCCTTATTTCTAAAGGCTAAATCAGTCTAAAATAATTATTTTTTAAATATTTGATTTTTTCATCTACATGTAATGTGCAAAAATCCAATAATTTCTAATTTCCTTCATTTTCCTCCTGAGGTACTTCCCTCAATCAAAAATAACAAATTAACTGGTGGATAATCGTAAATTTGCGTAACAAGAGTCAAAGTTGCTTGCTACCTGAAGCCTTTTACATTAGAATATTTCTTGTAGCATGCTCCCTAGAATAACACTGCTTTTCAGCAAAGATAATATAAAAATTCTGTAAAAATTGTCACATGATGAACAAGTCACTGTATCGCTATTAAATTCAGTTGCTGTTTCAAATCTTGTAGTAATAAAGTGAATATACATGTATTGATTGTAGGTAGCTTGCGTAGTGATAAAACTGAGTTGTCTGCCCAGCTGAAGAAACACCAGGCCAGAAACCTCTACCTTGAGAGCATGGTGGAGTCTCTTTCTAAACAGGTAAACAAAAGCAGTTAACATACATTTGAAAATAACCAATATGTCAGATTGAACTTGCGTTCTTGATACACGTAATATACAGGGTGGGCCAAAAAAACAGTACCCAAGTTTACATATGAATGATTCATATGATATATGTTATACCATGCCATGTATTATATATCATTTTAAAGATACATGTACATCATTTCCTAACAAATTGACACCATCCAATTCAAAAACCTTTGTTTTCCTGTGGAGACAAAAGTTGACACTCAGCAAACCAATTTTACCCTGTACAGGGTGTCAAATAAGTCCCGTCACCCCTGCTACACCTAGAACCTTAATAGATGGTGCCTAGTGTGATATACCATTGGAAAGATCATACAAAGCTATGTTAAATCACAAACTCTCGAGTATTTTGGATGAACTTCACCTATATTTTCATGATGTCTTTTATAGTTAGCATACCCTCCTTTAAGCAGCTTTTTTGTGTCAAAATGAGAAGGATTTGACCTCAGAAATACATCAAAAAGTTAATATTTTTCTCATTCCACTTGTTACAAAAATGTTTTCACCACTTACTTTGCTCCTCTATTTTCTACACATCTTCCCCTATCCAGAAATTGGATAAATTCATTGCCATATACATATGTAGTCATCTTTAGGTCCTTTGACTTTTCTTATACCCAATACTGAAAATCCTGCCAAATACGCCAAATTGCCATGTTTCTAGGCCTATGGTCACCTCAATTGATACACTGTAAAACTTTGTGAGATTGATTGACATGTGTCAGATATATGCTAATCAACATAACTTTGGAAGACCTTTCCAATGATATATCACACTTGGTACCATATATCTTGGTTTTGGCTGTAGAGGGGGGACGGGACTTATTTGACACCCTGTATATTACATTATCTTAGTTGATCTATAAATCAAAATTGATAGATTTGAAGTTGTTTTACAGAAATCATTAAGAATCTCTTGTTTCCATTCCTTAACCATGTAGCCCAGAGAGAAACAAGTTGAGGTTGACCAGCTCCAGTATGAGTTAGGGGCCCAGGGCAGGCGTAACCAAGCAGAGATTGCCAGCCTGAGGCAACGAATTGGGGAACTCGAGCTCCAGCTGGTAGAGACACGTAAAGAAGCGGATGAGTACTTCAAAGGCAGCTTGGAGAGAAACATGGAGAATACAGCACTGGGAAATCAGGTAAATAATATAGACTTTTTTACATAAAGATTTTGGCCTACCACATATATTCAGTACCCACAAACCTGTCCTAACAAATAAATGGTTCTGCCTTTGTATATTAAATTTAAGTTGCATGGAAATTGTAAAATTAATATTCTATGAATGATGAATCACAGTTTCTTAACTATATTAGGAATTTTCAGAATTGTCCAGATAATTATTATTCTATGTCATACACCTTCAGTAACCTTAAGCTATACTTGACATGCATTTCTATTAAAAAGGTCTAAAAGTAATATATAGGTTAACTTATGATGAGGAATAATCTCCCATCATTTCTTGACTCTGTATATTCATGTTGTGATGAATCTCTAGTTTATTGGCTGATGAGTCATGTTAAATAGAACTATAAATTTATCTCATCTCTTTGTGTTAACCTAGAAAATAAAACAACCCCCAGGCCCTACAGAACATATATCTATTAGGTTGATAACAAGCCATTACTTTTTTATGGCACCTGTGACCCATACATCTAGGTCACAGGTGCCACAAAAACAGGTCCCAGGTATATATGTACCCCTAAATGTGACTTAAACTAGGTTGTCCTTAGAATCACCTCTTAGGATATTAACCAATGCGGCAATTAATTGAAATTACTCTAATTAAAATATGCCCAGTGTCTTTTACTTTGGTGAAAATAGCATAAAATAGGAAATTCACTCACTAGTTCCAAGATTATTCAAAGAAATATTCAAATTTAGATTTTATTGTACCTAAAAAGATTTGTGATGTTGTTATCAGCTTGACGGATGGCAGGTGGGCGGGTGGGCAGGTGGCCTTACATATTACATTCTGGTGGCCATCTTGGAAGTGTTTTGATAAATCTTGTCATCGCAATTCCAGGAAAACCACTTGACGGATTTACTTTAAATTTCACACATGTTACATGGTAAGAAGTTCTAGAGCTGATTTACTTTTTGGTGGCCATCTTGCATTCTGGTGGCCATCTTTGACGGTTTTATAGATAAATCTTGTCATAGTGATTCCAGGAGAACCACTTAACGGATTTACTTCAAATTTTCACACATGTTACATGGTAAGAAGTTCTACAGCTGATTAACTTTTTGGTGGCCATCTTGCATTCTGGGAGCCATCTTTGACGGTTTTAGATAAACCTTGTCATTGCAATTCAAGGAAAACCACTGGACAGATTTACTCCAAATTTTCACATATGTTACATGGTTAGAAGTTCTACAGCTGATTAACTTTTTGGTAGCAATCTTGCATTCTGGTGGCCATTTTGGAAGTTCTTAGATAAATCTTCTCATTGCATTTCCAGGAAAACTACTTAACGGATTTACTTCACATTTTTGACATACATGGTAAGAAGTTCTAAAACTTTTCACCTGTCATCTTGCTTTCTGGGTCATCAAACCCACACTGTTATGTTTTAGGTACAATATTCTTCACTCTGTGCCTTGTTGGATAAATGCCAGGGGATCTATATAGGATATGACTTTAAAATTAGGCCCATGGTGTTTTAACAAGAGGGAAAACTGTAAATTAGGCCTTATATTTCAATTGAGAGTCCAAGGACTTCTAGGTAGAGCACTTTGAATTTTAATATAATTGACCCAATAATACATGTAGGTATGTATGTGAACAATATGCAAGACATTCTACTTGTAGGTTTCATCATTGAAGATGGATCTTGCAAACAAACTACCCTCAGTGAATTATGGAGCCCAAGAACTCATGATACAACAACTCCAAGATGAGATCACACGACAGCGTTCCCAGATCATGGGCCAGAAACAGGCTAACATGACATACATACCAGAGAAAGATAAGTCAGCTGTGCAGCAGCTACAGCTGAAACTAGGAGCAGCTGTTAAACAGATTGGACAGTTAGCTAGAGAGAAGCAACAGCTGACAGAACTAGGGAACAGACTGAGGGCTCAACTTAATAAAGCAGGTTTGCTAAATACGTTCATGTGAAGCTTTGTTTATTAAGTAAAATGAATGTTGACTTAAGTGGTAAATGATTTGATAAATTATTTAAATTAATAGGATTGTCATTTCATCCAATCATGAATCATAGTGAACATTGGTGCCAAAATTGATAATTGCATTGAACATTAAATATATATTCAAGTCATATTTATTAATTATCCCATGGTTCTGAAATGTGATTATACAGTTTATGCACCATGAGAGTGAACTTTGCAGGTGTTTCCCTACCAAGCCCTCCTAAGCCTAAGCCCTCTGCCCCTGCCATTCAGCCATGGTCTACTGGAGGAGATGTCAATATAAACCAAGCTGTCAAGAACAGACTGAAACAATTGGAGAAAATGCAGTATGATGTCACAAGACAGGTACAATGCCCATGCCTTCAATATACACTCTGTGGTTTTGAAGCCCTTTTATTTTGTTTCATTCACTCTCTGATTAAATTTCTTTCAATTTACATTTTTATTACACCCTAAGGTGCTACATGTATATTGTAATCAGTTTGTCGGGCGGTCGGGCATCCCGAATAATCTTGTCTACAGGTTTCCAGCCAAACCGTTTGAGGGATTCATTTGAAATTCTCAGGGATGTTTCTATCTATGAAAGTTTAGAACTGATTAGTTTTTCTGCATTCTGGGTAAATGTTCAGGCGGCCATTTTGGATTTTCCGTCTCAAATCTTGTCTGTCAAGGCTTGTCTACAGGTTTCCAGCCAAACTGTTTGAGGAATTCATTTGAAATTCTCAGGGATGTTTCTACCTATGAAAGTTTAGAATTGATTAGTTTTTCAGCATTCTGGGTAAATGTTAAGGCGGCCATTATGGATTTTCCGTCCTAAAATCTTGTCTGTCAAGGCTTGTCTACAGGTTTCCAGCCAAACCGTTTGAGGGATTCATTTGAAATTCTCAGGGATGTTTTTACCTATAAAAGTTTAGAACTGATTAGTTTTTCGGCATTCTTGGTAAATGTTAAGGCGGCCATTTTGGATTTTTCGACCTAAAATCGTGTCTGTGAAGGCTTGTTTTAAAAAATAAAAAATAATTTCCCATTGAGAGCAATGTTAAATTAAAACATTCTTTTTAGAATTAACTAAACGGTCAATCTTTCCAATTTTCACATATTTTTATACATTCGTATATCTTTTACCAGGATTTTCAGGAAAATCTGAATTGTAGAAAAAAAGCTGATACACCGTGAAGTAATACCTTAAAACGTGTCTCTTGAGGGTTGTTTACAGGTTTCATGGATTCATCCTAAAATTTTAGAGATGTTTCTATTGAAAGTTTAGAACTGATTAGTTTTTAGGCAGTCTCTGTAAATGTTAAGGTGGCCAGTTTGAATTTTCCATCCCGAAAAGTGTATTCTGTTCAAGGGTGCGATTCTGTTAACCCTGTGGCTTGTTAGACATTTACTTACTCTATTCATTTACATATAGAAGGTTGGTTTAACCTTATTTTGACTTAAGCTGTCAGTTGTAAAATAAATATTAGACCAAATCCCCGACCATCTAACAGTGTAGGCGGATTTATTGAGCCATAGACCTACGAAAAATCGATGTGGAATTTTATATTTCTGATTACAATTTATATAGCAAGTAAGGCCTACATTTAACATCAGCATGTTTTCCTTCATGAAATACATTAATGTTATTGTAAGTTATAATAGCAAAACACCATTCTATTTGAAAAGATTGTAAGGTTGATTGAAAAGAAAGAATTGTATTTGTAATTTTGAAGGACTAAATTCATGGAACTTTTTTTGCAAATATACTATACTTTTCAGCAACTGGCTCTTGCCCAAAAGCAAAAAGTTTCTCCCAGGAGGGATGTTCAAGAGAGGGAACCACCCAGTCTTGAGACAAAACCACCTAAAGTTGAGGCAGAACCATCCAGACTTGAGGAGTTGTCCTCCAGCACATCTGAAGATGTGGAGCCAAGACCACCCTCAATACTAAAACGCCCCTCATCTGCCCCACAGGGACCTTACAATCAACCAGTGCAATTTGGTAAGATGTGTTGATGATAGTGATCATGTTTAAAGTTAAGAAGCTTCTTATGGTTGGTATTGTTCATCATATAACTCTTTGTTCTCAATAATAAGTAAGTATTTATTTGTTGAAGACAAAAGAACATGACATTGTAGTTATGATGTTCAAAATGAAAGATTTTTTTGATGATCAAATCCTTATACTGTACATTGCAGCTATAAAATTAGGTAATAAAAAGACAGCCGCCTAAAATAAATGTTTATAACAAACCCAGAATCTTAATGACTTCAATGCATTATATGTATTTATGTTTGATTCAGACATTCCCAGTAGTGCAGAGAGGGGTCCAGTTACTACTCCTTCTGACCACTCAAGCCTGGGTAGCAGGGATATAGACCCTACACTGTTCACCACAATGTCTTCCATGGGAGGGGGAGAGTCTCTGCAGGACATCTGGAGGATGCTGGATGAGGGTCAGACACCATCTTTATTTGGTGCTGGTGACACAGGTTTGTTTGCTAATAATGTACATGTACTGTAGGTGGCTATATATTATATTAGTGCATTTTTATCCCTGTTTCAATGGAATGAAGTAAGATAGATAGGTTAAATATTTTACTGTCAACCACAAATCAATTCAGTATGGAACATACTTATATATTAAATAAGTTAAAAAAACATTATACATGCTACATGCACCAGTTGTTCAACATTTTACCTAAGCATTTTTTACTTCCAGTATCTCCTATACCCATGGCAAATCGCAGTGAATCCGTCCAATCAAATACACAACCAAGCCTACCCTATACACATTCAGGGCCCACTGATACACAATCAGGCCGAGGGCCCACTGATACACAATCAGGGCCTTATATTCAACCATCTAGATCTCAGGATACAATGCAAACAAATAGAGGAATAACTGACAATAACCAATGGACATTAAAAGGACAAAAACAAGATCTGTCATCAAAACAGACAAATAAAAAGGAGCTTTCAAGTAAAGCAGCTGGTAGAGTTACCAGTCAGAAATATACGCCAAAGCATAAAATACGTAATTACAATGAAAGAGATGATAGGTAGCTATGTTTAACAGTTCAACCAATGAAGCTAGAATGAGGGATTTCATTGCTAATACATGTAGATGGCAGATTTAAATGCTTTAAAGAGGTACAAACATAATATTGCACCGTGGGCCCGTAGCTAGCTTTGGCCAATGAAGGGGGATCATTTTTCAAAACAATCAACTGGGGGTTCACATTGGATAACTTCCAAAATCACTTGAAAAGTCTGCAGAATGGTCAAAACTGCATGATTTTGATAATTTTTTTTGGCCAGGGTCGTTTGTTCGTACTCCCAAACTTGCCTGGCTACGAGTCTGTCTGCAAAAAGCAACAAATGGCAAAAAAATATTTGCACAGTGCACAATGGGACAGAAAGTGAATATGTTATAGTCAAGTGATTGATCTGCCATCTACAGTTGTATATGAGTCTTGGCGTCTTTGATACATGTAACTCTGACTGACAGCATTATAGACTTCATGGGTTGCACTGTTTACAGAAATTAATGTACTCTTGTATTCAGTTCTGCAAATGTATCAATGTTCATACTTTCTAAAATAAAAACTAAGGGATGTTGTCCAAATGTCAACATTGGTGGAAGTATGAAGTTAATGCTATTATAGACTAACCCCCATCTCTCAAATAACAATATTTTCCTCCCACTTGAATTTCAAAAATCCACATTCATCTAATGAAATTGTGATTTATTCACTTACTCTAATAAAATTAATTTTGTTGTTCCACAATAGTTGGGATCTCATATTTACATTCTAATTTTACGTTTTTGAGAAAAGTCTATTTTCTGACCCTGCGGGTTCCTGACTTTTTCTTTGGGACCATTTTTTACATTGTTATATTTATGAAATAAATTCATGTAAGCATGACATTTTTGTTAATTTGTTGATGTCCTCCCCTTTACATATGTCACTGTCTTTGCAAATAAGTTTCTGAAATTGTCCTTGGGAGGCAGAGACGTAGCTCGGCTGGTTTCCAGTGTCGGAGTGTATAGTAGGACAGGGTTATCCTAGATTTGAAATTGAGAGGGGCAACTTGTTGAATAATGGGAGACCAAAGGTGAATCTAACCAGGTGACATGTTCCACAAGAACATTTTATGGCGTGGTATGAGCGTAAATCTGAGTGTATGTGATGAATAAAAAATTAAAGTCGTAGAATCAGTGGATGTATTAAAGGAAAAAAGGAAGTAACTGATAATAGCTATTCGTCATTCTGTATGGGTTAATCATTCTTTGATCTTTCCGTTTTTCAAATTCAGTTTGAAATCGAGGACTAATGTACATGTACCTGCGTCTCCCGGGCTGTGTCTCAATGAATTTTTATGGTAATAATAGACGTATGGATGGTAGCGAGACTATATTAGTGTACCTACTGGCCTTTTCCACCATAAATTATTGAAACCGTGTATCGGCATCCATTTCCACTCCTTCCGACTGAGAAGTGAGACTGAGATGACAGATGTTTATTTCCTTCACAAATAAATGATATGTCCATTTAATTTTCAATAAATAAAAATTGATTGTTGTATGAAATAGCAAAAGTCTTTTCTGGGTCACTGCGAATGGCATGATTTCCTCGAGTCTCTTCAGTTGCAAGGCAACCATACTGGGACCGATTCGTGTCGTTCCACTACTGCCCTTGGTGGGGGCCCGCTACCATACTGTATGACTTCCGGAGTCTACCAAAGCACGTTAGTGGAGGAACCAACCACAGTCTCACAATCTGTCTCCAGGCAAGAGCGGCCTAGAGAACCAACCCATGCCAAGGGCCGGTATACGGTTGGACCTTCGGACCGGGTGTCCGTAGTGACAATGATCAACAACTCCGTACCTGGGGCTCGAACGCGGGACCTCCGTATCCCCTCGGTACATTCGACCACAGTAGTCTCTTCGCCACGAGGCTATTCTGCTCAGGTGTCAAAACTGCTCAAAAAGTTATAGTTGTTTTAATATTTTGCCTGGATGAACACGAATATGCTTATAATAATCCTAATTTCTCAGTCACCTGTAATTTGTAATTGAATGACTAATTATAAACAACAACAGTGCGCTTGCAAACACGATATCGTAATTGGCTACTTCGTGTAAATGCGTCTTCTAAGATATCAGGAGAATGTTTTTGACTAAAATTATAAAAGCGGACCAGATTGGCATGCATAAAAAATGTTCATCCTGTGATTAAACAACACCCTCTACCAGTGTTCCATTCCATTGCCGGTTTTGTTTACATTACTACCTAGTATAAGTGATCGGTAATGGGGATAATGTTTCAAAGATAGTTCTGCGCGCGATACTACTTTTTACAAAAAAAACAATTGAAAACCTGTGTATAGAGGGGTTAAAAAGCCTAACCGAAGTAACCTGCTACATCCAAGGGCTTTTCCCCCAAGTTTATGATGCATAATTCTCTCGATTTGGGGAAGCTACGGCGCCCATACGGTTGACGTAAATCAAATGTGATTGAGACTGTACGTAAATACACCCTTCTTTTCTAGTCTAGCAATAGAAGTCCGGGTATTTAGTCTATTGTTGGTAACAGGTGGCAACATTTTAGTAGGCAAATACTGTCGAGTGCCATCTTTAATTCAAGAAACACAATTTTATGGATGAAGCTATGAATAATCTAGATGCGAGGAGAAATGATTTTGATTTACATCATTAAATATTCAAAATTCAGTCAAATTGATGTCATATTTGAAATCTACATGAAAAAATACATCCAAAAATATGGTTTCGAAAACTGTTTATCAACTTTGAAAATTTAATATTTTTTGAAAATGTGACTTCTAGTTCGGGTTGATTCCCCCATAGACTCCACATTACAAAGTCACAAAAAGTGAAATATCTTTTCTTGTATTGGACAAATAACATTTTCTTTTACTGGACATACTTTAATTTGCATAACTATTCGATACATTAGGGCTATATGAAAATTGAACTACTAAAACAGATGTAATTTATGCTATCTGACCCGAGCGAGCCACCTGGTGGTGAAACTGTTAACTATCTACTCGCATTTGCGTTATTGAATTTAAACTTCAAAGTGAATATCCCCGTGAATATCCGACCATCAAGTTGTCAGCTATGAATTGAAGTTCACATAATGTCGGTCCATCCCAACAATGCAACTAGTAACAGAAAAGGGTATTTGGCATTAGGAAGACAGTACAACTCAAGTCCACAATGCAATTCATATTTCTTCTAGTATATTCTTGTCATATTTATTCTGTATGTATAATGATGACAGTTTTTACAGTTGTGCAATGAATCAACTCACAGCTGAAAATATTTAAGACAAATGCTGCATATTTCTAGTTTGAGATAATTGTTTATTCTTCCACGAGCTATAGATTACTTCTTGATGAGCAACATTCATTGACATGTGAAGGTACATGTGTTTCAGAAAATCATAATTCCATCTCTACCTATTGGATATAACATATACAGTGAGTTTATGTGAGGGGTTTATGAACACGTTTTAATTCTGTTTGTACAGAATTTAACATTTTTTATTCCTCTATCTGATATTGTCATTACTCACTTCTCACAGAAATTTCTAAAACTTCAATCCCGAATGAATGCTCCATTTTAAATATCAAAAACATCTCTTTTTTACTGACAAAAGCTCAGGTCTATGGAAGCAACTTGGAGTTTTTCTATACAATATGTCCGTATGAGTGTGTACAGTTGAAATTGGTGAATGTTGGTGGATGCGATCTATATCTATGAACAGTTCTATGTACAGGCAGTTAATATATACTGTGTATGCAGGGTCCATGTTATATACATTGAATGTCCATGTGGACATGACCTAAATGTTCTATATACAGACACTTCATACATGGACTACATGAGTAATAGTCTATAAGTTTCATGTACATTTAACACTTTGTAAAACTTCATCAGCAACATTCATCACTTCTTCATGTTTCCCATCCAACTGAAATACAGAACAATGATACAATATAACATGTCAAAATCATTCACAAAATTCCTCGTATGTAATACCTTGTAAAACAATTTTTCAAATCTCTAAAACTTGCCCACTGCAAAACACATGATTACTGTTTTCATTGGCAAATATAATTTTGAATCATACATGTTGAAATTAACAAAATTAATAAATAACAGCTACTGAAAATTTTAGAGGGATAGATTTAATATTTCTCAGGCAAAGGCACTGAAGGCTCAAAATGTTCCCTATCTGAAAAATCTATAAACCCAAAACAGTATGCAAAAATATACGTGCACTTTACCTTTTTTAAAACCATTCTATATTGATCCTGTATACAGATCATGTCTTCCTTATGCTTTTCCGTTGCAACCTTCAGCTCTTGTAGCATCTTCATCTTCATAACATTCATTTTCTGCTTCCCTGCTTCATCTTCATCATGGAGCTGAGTAAACCTCTCAAGTTCACTAAAACAAAATAATTTACAATGAAGCATTTGAGCGTATATGACATCACAAATCAGGGTTTTCACCAGGAAATTTTTAGACCCCGGGTTTTTCACGGTCCCCTATGTGAGATAAGAGATATCCTATTAGTATAATTTTCAAAATACTATTCAGGGCTTGCATTAACGGCGTCCCGTACATGTTAAGGACTCAAAAATAATTTGGAGGACGCAAAAATTGAAAATATTTCCGTTTTTTGGACGCAAAATTTTTTTAGGTCAATACTACAATGTGTTTACAACGATACCTAACAAAAACAAATAATTATGATCTCTCACCTTTATTTGAATCGTAAATAAGGCTCAACATGTTGAATATTTACAAATAATCATGATTCTCTCAAATTTTTTCGACTTTGTTTATTTTCAGATTTGAAACCATGACACGCCACAGTTTTTCCTATTCAGAAACAAATATTAGGTTATTCATGAAATAAAATGTATTCATTGTCGAATGAACAAACATGCATTTATTCAGTCCGTACTTAATGTTTACTTCCGTTTTAAATTCGCGGCAAGAAATCAAAAACTGAAAAATAGGGGACACACTTTTTTTTCAAAGGACACACTTTTTTAAAGAAAATTGCGTCCTTGGGACTCACAAATTTTCTAACCTAATGCAAGCGCTGACTATTTAAGATTATCTTCCTCTTTTAATCTCAATATACATTTCTAAAAGGTTTTTGACTTCCTATTTCTTGTTTGTATCCAGTTTATGTATTTTCTCAAGAGTTTTACCACAGATAATGTGGCAAAAACGTATAATTGGACTCAGGAAAAAACACTTTAGACTCCAGAAAAGCTATTAGACTCTGGAGCAAGAGGGTCTTACAACAAAAGCAATTGCCTAAAGGTCAAGCCATTTATCTAAATCTGGGTCACTTATTTTTTTAACAGTCACGCAGAAACATATCAGCTGCTTTGAATTCAATTTGACAAGTATTGTTGACTAATTAACACTGCCAATATTTAAGTTTTCAATAATATCATTGCAGCATAAAGGAGTATAGGACTAAATCCCTGCAGCATTGTACATGACACATGCAGCATACACAGCCAATATAATTCGGCGCCGTTTTGGCATCGAAAACATTCGGCGCTGTTCCGGCACCGTTTCAACACCGTTCCCGCACCGAAACCTTTCTACACCAAAATTTGCCACCGGACTAGTCAGTCCATTTGGTGCCGAAACGTCACCGAAATGGCGTCGAAAATCAGATTGCATTTTTGGGGGTGTAAGCGCAACAAATATAATATGAAACATTATGAGCAATAACATCATGATTAGTTGAGCAATTACACTTACTTTTGAGACTGTTCCACTGTTGCTTTATAACTTTCCACTTTATTGTGATGTTGGAGGGAATTTTTAGTGATTTTGTCCTGGCGTGTGGATAGCATGCGTTTTGTTTGTGTCTCTTGTGCTGCAAGGTCTCTCAAGCAGTCTTTCTGTGTAGTGGTTTTGTCACGAATATTTGAGATTTCTCCTAAAACTTCCCTGGAACACAAAAAAAATTTTCAGATTTATCATCTCTCAAAATCAATCTTATTTGCCAACTGTGCAATCTTGCTGCCCCTAAGTCAGAACTACCAAAACCTACTTTCAACAAACCTCACTATACCTTCAACTCCCCAATAACCTATATGGTGTACTTTATATGTATCAAATATAAAAACCATTATCATGGTGCATAATTAAGAAAGACAATAATTATGAAAGATGTTACTTCATGCCTTTAATGTTATTTAACTCGAAACCCCTTGTGGATACTGAATAAATACAGGGTATATATTTATCGTATTATCTGTAAAATGAAGCTCTCTGATTGGTCAGTTCCTCTGCTGTGTATTGCTACTGAGATTGTTCTCATTGATCATCTCCATAGCAACACAGAAAATATTGGTACAGAGGGGACAATCTCAGTAGCAATACAAAGAATACAGAACATTTTCTAGAGATTATCTTCTATGTAAAATGCATTGGCCTAAGATCACATGATAAGAACGTTGTAGAATATTTACAGGATATATTCTGCTCTCGATATTTTATATTGGCACTCGACTTTGTCTCATTCCAATACAGAATTTCTCGAGCAGAATATATCCTATATTGCACTTCAAATCATTAAATAACTTATAAATTGCAGGACTATAGGTTTCGACATATCTTGGAGTGTTGTCAGATTTCAAGGGTTAATTTGATTGTTCCCCCACCTGAATCACAGGGCTTTTACCTTTCCTTCTCAATCTCTGCATTGATTCCCATGATTAACTTGAGTCCTTGTTCAGAGTCATTCTCCAGCTGGACTCTCTTCTCTTTATCATCTCTCAGCTCCAAGAGTCTCTGCAGCTTGTCTTCTTTGGTCACTTTCAGCTGCGTCAGTTGCGACTTCATCCTCTCCTGATCGCCTTTACGTCTCTCAGGTGATTGGACAATCTGTCGGGACAGCTTCTGGCTAGCCTCTTTTTGAGTGAGTAGTGACACTTTCAGTTGATTCTATGTAAGATAGGTGACAATGAGATTGTATTGTAGTAACCTCAGTGGAAAAGAATGGAATTGTTCAAGAACTGTTCTTGAAATGTTACAGAATGGAAAACTGAACAGTTCCACAAGTGTTCATCCAACTGATTTTGATATTCTAGAACTGTTCATTAGCCCTATTTACAACAAACTGGACAAAATGAAATTACGAACACTTTCAGTTGATTCTAGGTACAGAATACAAACATTATAATGAAACAACAAATAATCTTAACACCTGAGGTTCTATATTATCTGACATACTGTACAAAAATAAAATTTTCTTCATTGAAAACAAAATATATCACAATTAGGCTTCATATTATCTGTAATAACTTTAATAACCTTTAAGGAGGGGGGTTGAGTTTGCACTTACTATCTGGGCTGTTTTATTTGTAATGTCTTGTTTCCTAGCTGCAATATCTTTCTGAAGTGTGGCCTGAGTCTTGTGATGTTCTTGCATTTTGCGAGTTACCATGTCAGTGCGCTCAATGTACTGCAACCAAAGAATGTGTAAGCTTATTAGAATGTATGGAATATCCCATATGTTAAAAGTGGACATCAAACACAAGAGCAAGTTTCCATTAACAATGTTTTTTAATTAATCAACTTAAAATGAATATACTATATATACTATTTTAACTTTTACATTGGTCATTTCCATACTGTTGGTATAAAGGTCAAGTTTTGTAGACATAGAAATAAACATGTACATGAAAGATGAAAATATAAAACAGGCATTAACATGAAAAATGTCACCAACTGCCATTTGTTACAGATGCCTGTCGCCGAACACCAACAGCCAAATGCTGAACACCAACTGCCAAACACCATCCACAAAAATATTGGAGACTATGACAACATATCACCACTTGTGGTGGTGACATAAAAACAACTCACCTCCTTAACTTCAGGTTCTTTCTCTGCTTTTGATGCTTTTATAGCATTAATCTTTGCCCTCAGATCATCATTCTGTTTAGTAAGTTGATCAAATTGCTCTTTTTCAACCGCCTTTAAAAATGCATAAAACACAATAAAAATATGAAGTCTCCTTAGAAATTTGTATTTTTTCTTCCAAATTTTGGAAATAAGATTGTGGATTTTGCGATTTGAAAACTAAAGGTTTTGCGAGGATTTTGCATCAACAAATCTTGAAAAAAAAAATTTAATAAATCTATGGGGACAGTATAAAGATAATTAGGTGAACCCATTTGCTATAAGAAAGGTATATGTACAGGTATGGTAGAAACAGCATGTCTGAATCATCTTCTGAAAATACATCTTGTTTTCAGTTTTCAATTGTTCAAACCTAACCTTTGAGAACAAGTAAACAACAGATGCTAATGAGTGATATTCTCAAAGCAAAGTCAGTAATTGTCGCTAAACCCTGTTATGATTAGGTAAGATGAACTTCATTCTAATCAATAAAAGGGTAATGTCAACAGAAACCTTATTAAAGGCCATAACAGTACTGCATATTATATAAATATTATTTCAATATTTATGATTGGTTTCCACCACATAGCAACAGGACAGTAAATACTTTTTGGTTAAGTGGGAGTATGTAAAGACTGAAATTCATTTAAAGAGTTTTAACTAAATTAACGTCCCAAGAATTTGTTTGAGTGGACTTAAAGAAAGAGTTGAAATACATGTATAATTTAAGAAAACATCTTTGAATAAGATATTTGAGACAATGTTTTTTTCCAAGAATGAACAAGGGATAGCACTCACCCGTTGTTGCTTTATGTCATGCACAAACTCTAGCCTCTCCTGAGAGAAACGTTTGAAGTTAATAAGACCAGACAATAACCTCAGGGTTCTCTTGATCTCTGCAAAACATTGCATTAAATGAGTATTTTACTGTGTGACATTTAGAACAATGCAAAAATCTAATCTTGTATTTTTGAATCTCACTTTGTGAAATTTTAAGGCAGAATCAGATCTATGGGGGTGATAAAATTACAAGCAACATGTACAATTGACCTACCAATCTATTCCTTACAATCTTAATATCTCAAAAGATTCATAATATGTTATAAATTGGTGAAGTTATAATGGATTCAAAGTGCAAAAATGGGTGAAAAGGGTTTAAATTCTCCCAAATAATAAGAATGGTAACCATTCTTATAGAAAATAATTCATTATTGTAAAAATCTCGAGATTTCCTGAAATAAAGTACATGCACTTGGGATTTTTAGAAAATAGACATGAAAAGGAATGACATAAGCCAGAAATATTCTAAAATTGAAACAATTTTTTGTAAGCCTGATTGCTAGATCTGATTCTCTCTTTACAAGTTAAACTGTAAGTATGATGACAATACATTTTGATTGCTATATAGCTATATGTAACTTGTCAGCTTCTGAACACTAATGTTGCGGAGCCAACAAAATGTGTCAGTTTTGCAAAATTTTGTTCGAGTGTTCTCCTCAGGACTTTTTCTCAAGCGGGTACAAATTTCTTATTTCCACAATTTAGACATTTGGTCATAATAGGCCTATTTTTCATGATTTTTCTCATTTTCGAGTGGGTGTTAACAGATTTTTCAGGAATTTAATGCTGGGGAGATCACTGATATACATATTACTATCTTACGTACTTGGTTGAGTAATGTCACTGATGTTAAAGTCCTCCACACCACACGCAAACATGAGTCTTTGCCTGTAAAATAGAACTTAAAGAGTCAGGAAATTGGTATGGCTACATGTACTCTTTGCAATGGTAAGACTTCTTCCTTTTATAGTCTTCAAATAATTTAGAAATAATTTGTTGTCCTTGTACTTTTAAAATTAAATCAGTAATTAAGCATATCAATAAGTAGCTGACATTTATCTTAAATTTGAATTTTCATTAAAGCCCATTACAGCTTCATTTGAAGTCAAAAGACAGAGTAAGATACAGAACTTGAAACCAGAATAATGCTTTTAAGTATAGCCCCTTACTGTGCTATTGCCCAAGGTGGATACATCAAATGTGGTCAATTATATTCCTATGTAGGTGTCACGGCCACAAATGTGTATAAATGTTATTGTGTTTTAATGAAATAAATAAAAAAAAATCAAATAAAAAAAAAATCAAAAAATCACTGACTTACATTGCTATGACAAACTGTATAAGAGGGATACCCTCCTCATACGTCTCTTGGTACTCCAGGTGCTCTGCTGCACTGAACTGCACCTGGATCATTCTATCTGCGCTCACCTGAGCAATGTCTTCAAAGAACACAGCATAGATCCTCTAAAAAAAGAACATATTCAAATTTTACTCAGCGACCCCTTACATTTCTCTTTTTCCAAAAGTATATATTATTATGACAATGACATGTTTGTTGTTTCTCAGAAACATATTACTAAACAAACAATATAAACCCATATAGAGGAAATTCTATCAAATTTTACATTCTTAGTATTCTCAGGAAAAAGCAATGTAAAGGGGTCTGGTGAGCTGCTATGTTTGGATAAAAACTGGTCAAAGCAATCGTAAATACTTTTGCTTAAAAATTTCTTTCAAAAACAGTAATTACACAAGAACACAAATGTGTACAAAATGTCCCCACCAATGGGTGATCCCATCAAATGGTTATCCTGAAAATGAGTAGACAAGACTTTACCAACACAATTTTAATTGATCCGTCACACAGTTAACTAGAAAACAAGTAAACAAGACTTTACAGACAAGATTTTAGGATGGAAAATCCAAAATGGCTGCCTTGACATTTACCCAGAATGTCAAAAAACTAATCTGTTCCTAGATTTTCATACTAAGAATCATCCCTGAAAATATGACATTGATATACCAAATGGTTCACCTGAAAACGCGTAGACAAGACTTTACAGACAAGATTTTAGGTCAGAAAATCCAAAATGGCTGCCATGACATTTACACAGAATGCCAAAAAACTAATCAGATGTAGATTTTCACACTAAGAATCATCCCTGAAAATTTGAAATTGATCTACCAAACGGTTCACCTAAAAACGAGTAGACAAGACTTAACAGGCAAGATTTTAAGACGGAAAATCCAAAATGGCTGCCTTGACATTTATCCAGAATGCCAAAAAACTAATCAGATCTAGATTTTCATACTAAGAATCATCCCTAAAAATTTGAAATTGATCTACAGAATGGTTCACCTGGAAATGCATAGACAAGACTTTACAGACAAGATTTTAGGACAGAAAATCCAAAATGGCTGCCTTGACATTTGCCCAGAATGCCAAAAAACTAATCAGTTCTACATTTTCATACTAAGAATCATCTCTGAAAATTTGAAATTGATCTACCAAACGGTTCACCTGAAAACGCGTAGACAAGACTTTACAGACAAGATTTTAGGACGGAAAATCCAAAATGGCTGCCTTGACATTTACCCAGAATGCCAAAAAACAAATCAGATCTAGATTTTTATACTAAGAATCATCCCTGAAAATTTGAAATTGATCCACCAAACGGTTCACCTGAAAACACGTAGACAAGACTTCACAGACAAGATTTTAGGACGGAAAAATCCAAAATGGCCGACAATAAAAAAGTGATTATGTGTTTTTGCTGATTTCTTCTTACAAAATTATCACATATTACTACTGTTAACAATAACATAGGCTTTTACAACAAAGTAGATCTGAAATTATTTATAAAGCTACTAAATAGTTAAAGTATGAAAACTGAAAAACACCATTCAATATGATACAAAGTATTATCGTGCGCTAACTTTTCTTAAGACATTCAAAATGGCTGACATGACTGAGCTAACAGGTCCAAAACCTAATCAGATCTAGAATGAAGTGAGCTGAACAAGATGTTAAAGTTTTAAAAGCAACTGTGAAGCCGTTTTTCTTAAAGTTTGCAGACAAGGATTTTAGCATTTGACTTCAAAATGGCCGACAGGAAGAAGGTATCGAGTTAAAATTTTTTCATCCACATCTGTATGCACTTATAAGTTATCCCTGAAAATTTGAAGGTGATATGTGTAGCGGTTTTGGAGAAAACTGCCGGACGTATGGACAGACGGACAGACGGACGGACGGACGTACGGACGGACGCGCCTAGGCCGACAATATGGCCCCACACTATGTGGTGGGGACATAAAAATGGAGATTTATTCTCAACCTCTCTCAAAGTTAAATGAGGACACCGATCTGTTTTGTACCAACCAGTTGCAATTCATTATTTGAGATCAAATAAAATAATTACTTAAGGTTTCAGAAGAGCGACTTACTTGTGGATTGTGGAAATCTTTATCAGTGATTGTTCCAAGATTGGGATAGGAAAGGTTGATAAATTCCACAACCTCATGGGTCTTGAGAACAGGAAACTGGAAATCCATCTGAAAATAATAAAAAAAAAACTATGAAGGGAGAGTATTTAGTAGGGTTCTGATAGGTAGGGTTCTATTTAGTGCTCAGCTTTTCGACCCTATATTGCTAGTTTCTATCAGATGTTCCACACTCACAGAGGTGATTTTCGGATACACATTATACTAGGGACATCTTGCATACCATTGAATAAATTGGCGCATAATTCTGCACTCATAAATATTAAAATTATGATGTTAGTTGGAGACCTACCCTTTATTTGACCAGCCCACTTCTTTCCTGTCTCATTTATACAGTTGAAATTGTAATTCTTGAGTTCTTAATTATCGAAAATCCTTCGTTATGCAAATCTATATAACACCAAGAAACACAATTATTATAATAACAATTCTCTAAAACTACTAAACGTGTAGCGAGATATCATATTATTTTCATATATTCATATAATTTATATATATTCATATAATTATCCATTAATGTTATTAAACTAGTATTGAAATGATGATTTCGATAAGTTGAACACGCGATTAGTTTGACACGCGCATGTGCATAAAGAGGATTTTAATTTTCAAAATTAGTTCCAAATTTTTGACAAAAATCTCCTATTACTCATGAAATACCAAATTACTTCACTAAAAACGTAGCAAAAACGTTATTTCGGAGCATTCAAAGATAGGGTAGGTGCACAGATTATCGCAGTTTGCTGCTGCGTCATTATAGATCTAAATATAGCATGCGTAATGGTATGATATCATCATGGCCATTGGGAAAGGCTACACAGGCTAAGATAACAATTTGTAACTTTTAAAAATGGGTTGGTGGATTTTCGATCTGAACGAGGGAGTCCTTCTACACTTATAGAGTAACTACGAGATGTGAATATTCTTCAAGGTTCGGTCGTATGAGCTTTCAAACCATCCATGGTTTGGAAATTATGGTTACCGATTTCATTTATTTATGGTCCAAACTGTAATCAATGATGATCGCTTTACAAAACCACCAAGAATAATAATTTGTGAGGTATGCATATTCAATTAAAAGTGTATAATTTGTACTAGTGTGCATGACTAACTTGAAAAAAACAAATGTGTTTACCTGTTATTTTGAAAATTTTCGAAATTTCAGTTTTCACTCATTTCCACCAAGCCTCGTTTTGGATTATGCGTAATTTGTCACGCGAACCCAGTTACCACTCTTCATTAGCGCAAAAAGTCTGCATTTTGAAGAATCTTATACCAATTTAGTGATATTCACTATGTGACTGATGTCATCAACAATACAATGTTAATATATTTCTTTCTTTTAAATAAAGATAAGCAACATTGAAATCCACAAATCTGAAATCCAGTGTTAAAAATCCCGGGAGGCCAAGACTATCGGCTAAGGGTCGATAGAAAGAATTTCCAAATAAAGATGGCATGGTAATCGATCTGTGTTTATATACAGTGAAAAAGATAATAGTTAATTTTATTAGATAGATAATAGATAGAAAATAGATAATTTCTACTTTTCTACTTGTACGTTATTATGTCTATGTAAGTTTTTCTTTTTCTTCTTTTGTACATTTGCCATTTGGGGGTACAATAAATAAATATCATAATAGTAGGCTTAAGCCTATACTGGATTCTGTTGGTGCTGCCATCTTTATATCTTTATGGACATATCAGTAACATATCGTATCACAAATGTCCAATCATTTCCAATCACTAATTTTCTGACAAATATATACTCCATCGACTAATAAATATTCAGGGGGTAGAATGGGATAGTCTGATAGTCCTTGGGAACTATTACACGTTGACCGAAGTGACGTTACTAAAATAGTAGGCCTTTTTAAAGATGGCGTTAATGTATAGGCTACTGTACAGTGTAGTTCAAATGCCAGGGAGTCAATGATACGTATTGATAAGTGAACATTATCAACATTTTATAAATGGTGTCCAGTTTTGTCTATATATTTTCAGATCAATATTAGTGAAATTTTTGATTCATAATCGAGTACTTATCTACACTCCCCTCCATAAGTTTGACAAACTTAGCCCCCACTACACATTGAACTACGTGTTAAAGCCTCTTTATGTTTGAATTTCTATTTAGCCTACATAACCTGCGAGAAAAATACTTATGATATTGATGGAAATGTAACCTGAATTCATCTCCAATGCCTCCAAATTTTCAGATTTTTTCGTCAATAATAAAAGGTCGGAAATTGATGATAAATACAGTAATCTGTTTAAAAAAATCGATATTCCCATGTAAACCAATGGGAAATGGTAGGTTTGCCGCAAGTCATATGACAGAATATTCATCCATCTGAGTTCTTGAAAAAAATACAAGTAGTCAATTGAATTTTCGAACTTTATCTAATAAAAAATCGATACGTTTCTTCAGGTTTAAAAAAGTTGTAGGGCTTCAAAGACAAAATTATTTGATTTAACACAGGAGGCGGAAAATGATTTTCAAAAATCACTTTAAAGCTCTGTAACTTTAGTATTCATCTAGTTGAAAGCCCATTTTAGCCTTGAAAAAGGTTAAACAACTCAATTTTCTATATAAAAATATTTTTGGTGAATATTTTACTAGATATATATCCTGAAATCAGATTTGCTCCGAACTCATCAGTTCCCATGTTTACATGGGAATGACGATTTTCAAGAATTCATCAAATTTATCATCAATTTTCGACCTTTCGTAATTGAGAAAAAAAATTGGGCAAATTTGGAGGCATTGGAAATGAACTCAAGTTACATTTCCTTCAATAAAGGTTGCCAAACTTATGGAGGGGAGTGTACATCAAATACATGCAGTTAACTATTAGGGCCACCATGGACTTCTACAGGTCCGCGGGGCTGCCAAACTTCGCACAAACTTCTTCTGATACACCAAAGATAAAAAATCCAAGGGTCACTTTGACAAGTTTGGCCCGAAATCACATTAAAATGCTCAGAATTGTGAAAATCTGCATGGTTTGTTTTGAGGGGAGGGGGGGGGGGTTTGCAGGTTAAAAATGATATCATATTACCATTGATAAAATCATTCAAAAGATACCAAAAAAAGATAAGTTTTACGTGCTTCCGAAAAGACTAGAGTTAAACGTTTCTTGAAACATTCCACAAGTATATATTGTACATGTATGTAGATACGTTATTTTGGGCCGATTTTGGCACTTTTGAGTGCCGTGTCGGTTTAAATTAACTTATATGCAGCTAAAATGCCATCGAATCGTTGTTTTTAAGAAAAAAAGACACATTTGCTACATCATTTTCACATCGGCCCAATCGACCCCATGGCACTTAGCAGATTTTACCCTATTCTGACCTGGTTCATGATTTATTAGTGCGGCAAATATTTGTAATTAAGCAGGTCACAAAATCAATGATGAAGGTTGTCTCAATAATTGAAGGCCAACTGCGGGTCTACTGCACAATTTCCACTGACTGTCACCAGGGAATTAACACAAGAATTTAACTTAATTTGCCCTTTGTTTCAACCAAGCGCAGTTTAAAGATAGAATTAGATCTAGCGAGCAAGCAAAAAAATCTCAATTTTAGAATATTTTTGGCTCATATCATTCCTCATCATATTTATGTTTTAAGTCCCCGAAAACTTTCAGGACAACTTAAAGATTTCTACAATAATGCATTATTTTTCTATTTTATGCTTATGGTCACCATTTTATTATTTGGAAGGATTTCCCGCCATCTTTGCACTTTCAATCCTAATAACTTAACAAAATAACATTTCGCATTTCTTTTGGGAGATATTTATTTTGTATACTTGAATAATGGATTGTATTTCTGATGAATTTTGTACTGATTCTTTTTTAAGGCTAATCGTACATCCAACAATTAGAATTTTCAAGTACAGTAAACGCATAAATAAAGAAAATAAAACTACGTGAATTCTTAAGATGACATATATAATATATAATGTTACTTTGATACAATGATCCTATCTCTACCGATCATTAGATTATGTATAATTTCAGCGATTTCGTTTCATATGTTCCCCTCACTCCTCAATAGAAAAATTGTCTTTTGGTTCAAAAACGTTTGTTTTTTAAAAGTTAGATGATATACAGAAAGATTTGCCGATTTATATAAAAACCAATACTAATTGTTTCAGATAAAAGTGCATTGGTGAACCGTACATACATTCTGGTATGCCAGAGCTCCTCTTATTTGCCGTTTGCGAGAGACTTTGGAAGGATAAAGACAAAGGGGGCGCGGTTACATGTATGTCGCGATGCGGTACATATTAACATTCTGATTTTAAAATGAGTAAAGTAAGAAAATACTTTTTCTCAGAAGATGGGCGCATTTTTATTCATCCTAAAATCTTTGAAAAACAATTACTTGACATACCTCGAAAAACAGCAACTCCACGGATCGGAGTGGCAGATTCATCACACCTTGATAAGAAGCAATACTGACCTCCTCCCTTCACCCTTTAGCATATTGTTCCACACCAAAGACATTCGCCTTCAATATATTTCAATTAACTATAAACTGGTATTTCAGTTACCCTACTATCACACCAAACTAGTTCTCCCTACGTTCTCAAAAACGGGCTTCAACTGTGTACGAACGGACTGGACCTACTAAGAACCGTTTGGGATCTATTAACAAACTTCATCGAACGTACTCGAACGGGTAGGTCCTCTAGAACTTAGACAATGCTCAAAATGTTCTCGTGGTCGTCACGTTCTACAATAACAACGAGTGACAACGTACTAACGACGAGCTGGACGTACTACGAACGGAACCGTCGTACTTCAATCCTACTAGGGACGTTTTAACAACGAGTTGAATTGTCTGAGGACGTGTTGAGAACGAGGTAGAACTAATTGCAAACGGGTTTAAACTGATTGAGAACGTATTTAACACTGCTTATAAACGATTACATCACATTCCCGTCTGAGAACGATCATAAAGTTCGTAAATAATTTACAAAAATGGCAGCCATTTTGTATAAAGCAACCACATTGGATTTATATTGAAATATTGAAGCCATATTTTTTATCTTGCAAAGTTAAAGGTCAATACTGTATGCTATTGCCCTATAAAATTTGTGGAATCAGAATTTTTTACGAAAAATGGAGGCCATTTGAATGGAGTGGACAAGTCATGAGACATACCGGTTTAAGTTACTAGTAAATAGCCATTGTGATAACGACTGGAACTATTTAACTACACTTCAGTATCTAAAAGACAACTAACACTTTTTTCATTAATATCGATTCTTATTAGGCCCAGGCGAATAGTTTTAATAGGGGTTACAATTGAAAAGAAAAGTGGCAATTAGGCATACCTTTAATGAAATTGACCTCAATATAGAACCTTGAAAAAGCGCATGGATTTTCTAATACTTGTACATGACGGATCTTTGATGACAGGGATGTGAATTTTGGAACCACAGAAAAGCACTAAATTGTAAACTCTAGAATATGGATTATGAATATGACAGGCTAGTTCATTTCAAAGGGGATGTCAATACCATCATACCATCTGAAGTCTAATAGTAATAAAAGAACAATCGGCTTACAAAAATAATGTCTTGTGTTGTGCGTTAGTAGTTATTAAAACGAGGATTCTTGTGCATATTATGTGAAGTAATCTATGAGAGCAGCAGAGCGCGTCTCTTGCCACTTACAGCGCGTCTCTTGAGAAATGATGTTAGGAACTTATGACACGAGATTTATACAAACACGTTGACCATGCAACCTGTGATGTTACATCTATAAAATATAAAAGGGTCGAGTCCTCTGGTAAGTGAACATTAGCAGATATACATTAATGAACTTGCTAGGCGCAAAGCAGTCAAATGGAGATGTCATTAAAGTTACTTAATGTACAATGGATTTACATTTTGTGTATCCAGATCATTTTAAAAGAAATAAAGGCACAGGAAAAAATAATAAAACTCGGTTACCTACCAGCTATGAATTTTAAAGGCCCCGCGCGGAAAAATGCGGGTGCATTCATTTATGCCTTAAAGCACTTCAATGCTGAAACAAATATCCTACCAGGATATAAGCTTGAATACATGTACAACGACAACAAGGGTGCAACTCTCGAGGCCATAAGTGGAATGACTGCACAATATCTGGAAGGAGTCGACGCATTTATTGGACCTGACATTACGTGTGCCACTGCAGCCCAAGTAGCCGGGGCTTGGAACCTACCCATAATAGCATACGTACGTATACATTTAGAGTAGCCTATTAAACTAGAAAACCATTGTGATAGTCATAGCATCTTTCTGTCTCACCTGAAACATGCTCTGATATTATGAGGCATATGAGCACATCATATTGGGAAGATTTATAACTGTAAATACTCTGTGATACATAGTTATCATTTACCTACCCTGTACCTTAATGGCAATACATTACATACTATATAGGCATTGTATTTAACAGCAGATATTAGCACCGGCACAGGTACACTAGTTTTATCACCCCAATTAGATGAAATATGAACTGGGATGAAAGATCTCAAAAATCCTCAATTTTGGGCTCTCCTGTAACGCCAAATCAGGCTCATTATATAATGACATCTCAGGGCTGAGAAGAAATGAGATGTCATGGTTTATCATGATGCTAGAAAACAAACAGGATTCGGGGGTAACAGGGTAAAACAAAACTTCGAAGATCACCTAAATTCAAATATTATATTTCTTTTTACCAGTCAACGATAGCAATCGAAAATTGAGACCAATAGTAAAGTGGTACATTTTCCAATATTACCGTTTTACTTTAATTAGGAAAAAGAGGTAGGGTTATCACGTAAGACGAGCGGCGTTGAAAAAGAGAATGGCGATTCATTTGAGTAGACTGTAAATTATTGTTTTTGTGAAAATGAAAATCTCACCAAATCTAATTCTGAAACATCAGTATATTTGATCAATAGAGGGGAAAAGTTCAAGAACCAAATCTACAGTATAAAAATATTTAACATTTACAAGTCAACAAAATATATGACCAAGTCCTGTTTGGTGAACTTTATAATCTCAAATCGATTATTGGTATTCTTTTTATTAAAACTATTAAGGATTTCTTTTTTATAAAAATTAATTTATTTCATTATAAAGAATTGTAAAGTAAGTCTCTTCAATCATCCGAATGCATTACAGTAAAGTAGGGTACAATATTATAAAACAAATATAATATATGAGGATTAAGGTCAAGGGGTTCACTATGCACTTTTGGTTGACCATTGGTAAGTATAAAAACATAGCTGAGGTCAAATTGTAGGCAAATATATTCCCTCAACACCTGAACTAAGACACTATAAAAAAGAAGTTTCATGTCCCATAAATGTTGACGTTGATATAAAAATATTAGCAAATATCTTTCTAAATCATTCTATACGTTATTTTAATATCCACTACATTTCAAGTTGCTCTGTGAGTGGGAGCTAGATCACCACAACCAACAATAAAAAGAAATGGATTTATCTAGTTCTGTAACACGAATCAAAAGTGGAATGATTTTGATAAATGAGATAACGCATCTACATCTTGCGAACGACTTTCATCATCAAAATCCAAATAAAACGCCATGCTTAAGTTATTCTGAATAAAGGGACAGTATATTACATAAAACATTATTTAGACGTCGTCCTTTATATTACGACATATCATATCACACTGCCTTTTCTGCAAACAAAATACCAGGAGAAAGTTTAAAATGAATGAGTATGAATTCTGAATGGACTACAATGTCAAAATAATTTTAAACATCAAGAGACTTCGACGTTTTTCTCAATTGATTTTAGTCTGAGGGTGGTATTAAAATATCAAAATTGATTATTAAATCTGTGATTGCGATCTCCCCTGTTTAGATTGCCAAAGAAATATTGTTATGATAAGCTGGTTATATTAACAATTGTGTAGAGATGTAAAACAAAAAAATATTCAATGTATCAAAAGAGAGGAATTCATTCAGCATTCTAGTAAATAAACATGATTAACATTTTGACGTATAGCTTAATTAACGTATTTATTTCTGTCTTTTCGTTGTATGCGTGCCGACCAAAGCAGCACAGTATGCACAATTGTACTGAATGAATTTTTCAAAGAATTTTTTCAATCGATGCTGCACTGAAATGATAAACTTATTACTTTCTTAAAATTATTTCGGTACTAACGAGTCCTTGATTCTTGTTGATATTCTTACGTTACGATATACGTCCACCAACGACCCAAATAGCTCTTAGGAGATCGAAAAAACAATAGATATGATAATATGATCAAGATAGCCGTACATTTACAGCACTTTCTTGTTCTGAAATATCACCAAAATGTCCCGGATGTCAAAGTATCCAATCCAAAAATGAATATGAAACTGACAACGGACAATCATCTGATGCAAAATGATCACTCCCTTGCGTTTTCAATTGAACTCAAAGGAAAGTTACTCGAGAAAAGATCATTTAGTAAGTTAACAACAATAATGTTTCATTTATAGCATATGGAAATCGAGCATTAGATCCTTATCAACGTCAAATCCACCTCTGCTTCGGTCTCTGGTTGATTAATAACAGAATATCCTCGAGGCTGAGGCAGGTGCCCCCATAACAAAAGTATAATGCAGAATAAATGCAGCATGTAAAGCGGAGAAATATGCTACAAATTTTCTAATATTACGTTCAGTTCAATGATGTCCAACCGCACGGCAATAATTTCATTTATTTTGATACACTCCCCTTCATACGTTTGACAACCAAATGTCTCCTTTTTTGAGTGACGTATTAAAAAACTGTTTGTGTTTTAGAGATTCGAAAAATCCTCAAATTTGTCATGAATTTCCGAAATATTGCAAAGAAGGAACGAAACATTGACATGCTTTGATATGTTATCCAAAAAATACTCCCGGTTGCCAAACTTATGGAGGGGAGTGTATCGTTTTTCGTGATTCTAGATAAGTCATCTTAAATTACGCCCTTAATACAAACGAAATATGTATTAAAGGTAGTATACGACTGGTATACATTTGATGAGAAGTTATGCACCAAATTTAATTGTGTCTCTGATTGTATGCACGGTTAAAAACGAGCAAGTTGATTGCAAAAGGAGCAATTAAACGAATGCAATTAAAAGAGTTCTTGTGTTAAATGTATTTTCACAGTTGGTGAAAAAACTGGCAACATTTTGCATGGGAAATATTTTGGTATAAACAGGTGGTATGATATAACTAAAGAATAGAATACAAATTGTCAACATTCCAATTCTATGCAGATTTCTTCATTGTTTGCATGTTTCTTTTGTAAATTGATGATGTAAGACTACAGTGAAACCTGTATCGAATACCTCTCAATGTGAACACTTTTTTGCGGTCCCAATTACAAATATGTTATCTCTATTGGCTCACATGTTTATAAAACCTTGAAAGGTAAACACCTTTTCCCGGTCCCAATTACAAATATGTTATCTCTATCGACGCACATGTTTATAAAACCTTGAAAGGTGAACATCTTTTCCCGGTCCCAATTACAAATATGTTATCTCTATCGACGCACATGTTTATAAAACCTTGAAAGGTGAACACCTTTTCCCGGTCCCAATTACAAATATGTTATCTCTATCGCAATGTTTATAAAACCTTGAAAGGTAAACACCTTTTCCCGGTCCCAATTACAAATATGTTATCTCTATCGACGCACATGTTTATAAAACCTTGAATTATCCGAACACTGTTGGTCAGTCTCAGAGGCGTTCGAATTAAACAGGTTTTACTGTATTTTCAACAAAAGTACAACTTATACTGCTAAATAGTAGGCTAATGTTAATTAACACTAATTCCACAAAAACCTTAATCTCCGAAGACATCACACCGTTTTAAACACTCTCATCAGATCATCGCAAGACTCTAATAAGATGAACCGTTACATTACGGGTACTTTCAATACCTAGTGCGTCAAACTACTGCGTTGCGCTGCGCGTGACTGCGCTGCGTTTATTGTCTACTATTAAACCCTAGCTCCCATCCTTCTTATTTCATCCGGTTGCAGAGCTGTTTACTTTTCAACTTTCTTCAAACGTTTTCCAGTAGCATAGCAATGCATAATGTTTACTCAATGATTGAGAAATTTTGCGCAATATTTCATTGTCTTGAGCATGATCTTGACTTGTCTACAATTTTCCAAAGTAGGCAATGTACGCTAAGTATGCGATTTAGTTCCCATAAATTATTCCAACTGACACACACACACACACAGCTTGTCAAGGTGCGCGTGTGCGTTGAAATGAAACCTTTTTCAAAATAAAGGCCCTGTCGAAAGCTCAAAATACTTTAGGTTAAACGTTTTCCTTTTCAAGAAATGACCGCACCGTGATAGGATCAAGCACCCAGAGATCAGAACCGATCACTCTTTGAATAAAACACGGCATTTTCAAAAATAGGTACGCCATTTAGAAGTATCGCGGAACGTGTTTTGCGCTTAGTTTAGCACTTAACAGATTGCTTGTCAAAAAATCGCCTAGTGTGGGACATTTGGTTTAATTAATATTCCATACGCGTTCTCCAATCCCGCTCTGAGACAGGTTGACACCAATGATGTATTATTTAAAGACATCGTAATTAAGTTTTCAGTTAAGCAGTGGGGATAAGTATCATATAAACATACACGTAATTCCATCATGTAAATAAAATCTTCAATCCCAAGAATTGCAACGTAAAATATGCTACTGATTATTTCAATGGGATGATTTTTGAAAATACACAAATATTGGAAATCTGTTCCGAAATGACACCTAGCATTATACAGCGTTGTAACTCCCTTACTCCAGATTGATCTCTCAAATGGAGCATTGATGCATGTCAATTAGATTAGTTATGTTCGCTGATATCTAGTGGCTCTAAGAAGAATCCATAACCCGGCAGTTATGCATCATGATTATCATCAGATATCTAATTTTTCAATAGCAGAATGTCATCTCCGTTACAAAAGATCCTGATAAGATGAGCGTAACAGTTGAAGCTTTGTATTTTTATTTTTAGATTTCCAGGCAATCTCGTTGGTCAAATACAAGAATCATAATAAGAAGAATCAAAAATAAGTTAACTTTAATAAGTGACCTAGCTGTATTTTATATGTTTGTATAATATCTAATAACTAGATTGGTAAATTGAACAAAGTTCAATTTAAGACTCCAGATTGATTTACTTGAGTAAAGAGTTGAGTAGGAAGCTGAGT